GCTATCCGCAAGTCTTCGGAGCGCAGCAGGAGTTCCCGCTGCGCTCCGAAGGCTTGGGGATAGCCACCTGAAGCCTGGAGAGCGAGAGGGGTCGGTGCACACCAATCCCTCTTGCTCTTCAGGCTTCGCTTCTCTGGAGAGGCGCTGCACAGTTTTCCCTCTCTGTGCAGCGCCCCTTCAGCGAAGCGGGAGGAGAAATGGAAGGGGGAGAATTCCCCCCCCCCCCGTTCTCCCCGTCCTATGGTCCGGTGTGTCCTATAGAGCGAAAAATACGGTAGGTGCTTCGGTTTAAAGACAACAGGACGCCAGTTCTGCCCTGCAGAAAGGAAAACGCAACTCGGAGTCGCTCCAGAATAATGCGTTGGAGCTCTCCAAACCGTTTGCCCCCGCCCCCGCCACAGAAAATAGTAGTCCTAGCCGAAAGGCAACATGCAGAGATCTGCATTTATCGCTGCAGTGCAAAACCAAGAGGCCGAGGAGGAAACGGAAACTGTTCTGAAGAGGACGCATAAAGCCCTGAGTTCGAACCCCGACATCTCCTGGTCAGGACGGGAGAGTCTCCTGCCATGTGACGGCACTGTCCCCCTGCGGACGAGGGCTGTCTTTGAGAAAGGCCCAGACGGTGGGGGCATCAAGCGAGTTAGTGTCTCGTTCTTTTGAGGAGGCAGAACATTGGAGGAATGCCTTAGAAACCCACCAGGAGTGCGGTCTGGCCTCCGCCGCACCAAGCGACCCTACCACTCTCGTAAGAAAGTCTTATAAAGTTAGCCGATGCGCGGAAGGTAGGTAAAAGAGACTACGAGGACTCTGGAAGTACTTGATTTATACTTTTTTTTTGTATAACTAGAGAGATTATTATTATTATTATTTTATTTTGTTACAATCATTATTTCCCTTCTTTTGAATTTGTCCCCCCCTTTAATGCAGCGACTTGCTTTCGTTACTAATTTTCCGTTGCTGCCCCAAGCTTGCCGTTTGCTTTTTACTGCCGCCCCCCCCCCCAGCTTTCTTCTGAATGTCTGGTGTGTTGGAAGAACGTTAATCCAGGGGTTGCTGATGGGCTGTATAGCAAGTTGCTTGGACTTGATTACTCACGAAAGCGGTGCTCTAATAAAAAGGCTCTAAGGCCTGGATGTGCCCATTATGCTGCGAAGGTCTGCAGAAGTTTGCGGGGGGGGGAGAGATGAGGCCCCAAATGCACCACCCCAAACCTCGCAGTTAGAAGAGGAACCCCGTTGCCTCTATCTAGAGTTGGTTTTGGAGGATAAAAGACAGCTATCCTAGGCTGCTTGTGACCTTAACAGCGTACAGCGGACGCTCGGGTTGCGAATGTGATCTATGTGGGATGCACGTTCGTAACCCGCAGCGGCACCTCTGCACACGCGCGGGTTGCAATTCTGTGCATCCGTGCATGCGCAAAGTGCGATTTAGTGCTTCTGCGCATGCGTGACTGCCAAAACCCAGAAGCGGCCCATTCCAGTGCTTCCAGGTTTTGGCGGTCCATAACCCGAAAAAACACAACCTGAAGCACCTGAGGTATGACTGTACTTAGTTACAGGTGCACCCACCCCTTGGCTAATTTAAGAGACCTCCATTTGGATTGCAACCCCGATTTGCAAAGTAGGAAAACTTTGCCCCTCTCCCTCCCCCCCGGGCCGTGGTCCCGATCTGGAGCTCTGCAGGTTTGCGGTACCCCAAAAAATGTCTCATCCGAATTAATGGGGGCATTGTTTTATTTATTTTTGTATTGGGGTGGGGAAACCAATCCTACACTCAAGGGGAAGAACGGGGCAGTTAAGATCACAAGCTGGAGCAGTGCCAGAATTTGGGGGTAGAGGGGAGAGAAGATGAAAATATCGTCTCCGAATTCCGAGCTCAACTCTCTCTGTATCTCGAAAGCAGCTCTGTAACGAAGCCCAGTGGATGAGTGTGTAGCACAGCCAACTTTCCGTTTAGTTTTGCCTAACCTCAGTATTCATTGAAGCCCTGGTTCCAATTGTTATTTCAGCAACCCAACAGCTGTATTCCCGCCTGAGCTGGGAGATTTGGGGCATAAATTTAGGAGGAGAGCAAAATCGGAACAATTGATCCAGAGATTCATCACAAGTGATTGACGCTGTGTGTTTGTACTCATTTTCAGAGTACAGTGGTACCTCGCAAGACGAATGCCTCGCAAGACAAAAAACTCGCTAGATGAAAGGGTTTTTTGTTTTTTGAGCTGCTTCGCAAGACGATTTTCCCTATGGGCTTGCTTCGCAAGACGGAAACGTCTTGCAAGTTTGTTTCCTTTTTCTTAACACCGTTAATACAGTTGCCACTTGACTTGACTTCCAGGAGCAACTCATAGAACACGGTGTGGTAGCCTTTTTTGAGGTTTTTAAAGACTTTGGTGATTTTTAAGGCTTTTCCAAAACTTTCCCGACACCGTGCTTCGCAAGATGGAAAAAAATCGCAAGACGACAAAACTCGCGGAACAAATTAATTTCGTCTTGCGAGGCACCACTGTAGACCTCTCCAGCGTAAGTCAGAGGTGACCCATTGAAATTAATGGATGCAATTTACTTAGGCCTGTTCATTTCGGTGGGTCTACTCGCGAGTAGAGCTTAGTTGGCTATAACCCTTCTGTTGCTCCGGGAAGACCCTCCTGATTTCCCTCTCCCTGTTGAAACAGGGTAGGCTGTTCTTCCCCATATTTGAACAACTTTGGGGGAAAGAAAGAAAGAAGAAAATGCAAAATTGCCATGCAAAATTAGCACCGCAACCCCAGTGCGAAGAGAGCTGCCTTATGAAAGACTCCCTTCTTCTTCCAGCAAATCTTTACAGCCGTGAGCATTGCAGCTCTTTGGCAACTGGGGGGCTTTAACTTCGTTTGCATATCAGACCTGGAAGGAATTGCTTGCTCGGTTTCAGCGAGCCCTCCAAAACCCCTTTTGAGCAGGTGTTCAGCAAGAGGAAGGGGGGCCGAGGGCCGCCGTAGGTCAGCGACAGAGCACCTGTTTTGCATGCACCAGGTCCCGGGGTCAGTCAGCTGGCATCTGCTGGGAGGGCTGAGCATGTCCAATGCCTGGAACTTCTGGACAGCTGCTACAGCGCTAGCCACCACTTTAGAGAGCCCAATGGGACAACGATCTGGCTTACTTTAAGGCAGTTTCCTGTATATGCCAGCTCTCCACTCAGAACCATGAGGACTAGAACAAGGGTCAGCAAGGTTTATCTTGCCTGGGCCGGATCGGTCCCACGGTGATCCCTCTGTGGGCTGGATCCTGTGATTTTAGGCATCTGCGCAGACGCGATTTTCAGCACTGCGGAAGCGAGTCCCCTGCACCGGTTTAGTGCAGCACAGCTCGGTTTGGGGGCGGCTTGTGGGCCGCTTCTGGCCCACGGGCCTTAGGTTGCAGACCCCTGGACTAGAACCTTACACTTACAGGAGGACTGCAGCTTCGTGGTAGAGCCCAGGCTTTGCATACTGAAGTTCCCAGGTTCAGTGCCAGCAACTCCAGTTAGGACTGGGCACCCTGCCTGCCTGAAATCGGGCAGAGCTTCTGCCAGTCAGTGTAGTCCGTCCTGCGCTAGATGTTGCAGAGGCGCAAACCAGCTTGCTCTGCTTCCGTGCAGCACTCAAGTCAGAGGGACCCCCTTTGCAGTTCTTCCCTGGGGGGGGGGGATTGGCAGCCGGGAAGCGGGGAAGCAAACGTTGGCTTCCCTGCTCCGGCCTCCAAATAGCCTCTTGCAGATAAAGGCCACGTCTCCCCCAAAGCAGCAGAGCTACTCGGGAGTAAGCAGCACCGCCTGCCGAAATGTGTAGCAGCAGACTGGACGGCTTAATAGTCAAGTAGATCTGATGGCCTTCCTGGTCGAAGGATCTGCTTGGGGAAGGTCGCCTATTTTATGCAGCAAAAACGACCCATTTCCTTGCTTCACTTTTCTGCTGGCCTACGGCACCTGCGGAAGTTTCTCTTCCCCATGTGAAGAACTGGAGGAGGTGTCCAATCCTTTGGACCGGGGAGAACCGAGGGAAATTTCCCCTTGCTCCTTTTGTGGAAGCACTGCAGAGAATCGCAGCAGGATCCACCACCTACGTGGGTTTTTCCTATTAAAAATGGGCACGATCTCTTCCGGCATGGGGAGGGGGGACCCTGTCTCCCCGTCTCCCAAATCCACGTAGATGAGCAATTCTGACTGTTGAGCTTGGCCACATTCACACCGTAAAGCTCTGTGCTGCCGCTTTAAACAGTCACGGCTTTCCCCTCAAAGAATCCTGGGACCTGTAATTGGTTCAGGGTGCTGTTGAGTTCCTAGGCAAACTCCTGCCCTCCAGATGTTTGGGACTACAATTCCCATCATCCCTGACCACTGGTCCTGTTAGCTAGGGATGATGGGAATTGTAGTCCCAAACAGCTGGAGGGCCAGAGTTTGCCTACGGCTGTCCTAAGAACTCACAGCACCCTGAACCAATTGCAAATCCCAGGATTCTTTGGGTAATCGAAGTGGCGTCGCAGCGCTAGAAGCACACAGTGCAAATTTGGCCCTAGATAGATTCTGTTCCGAAGGAACGGGCAGGAGTTAAATCTGTAGTGGCCTTACAAGCAGTTGAGTAGAGACCTTTGCCTATCTGTGCAAGCCACTTATTTTGCTTTGTACGATTCGCATCGCAAGACCCCCCCTCGCTTTGTTTCCGTTGCAATTTTGGCTTTGTTCGTTTTGGTTTTGGTTTTTAATTTAAAGGAAGAAGAACTCCGTTTTGTTTTTTTTAATTTCTCCCCCCTTTTAAATTTTGTCCTCCTAAGCCAAATTTTTGTACGTTTCGTTTTAGATTTTTTTGTTATCATTTTTCCTGTTTTTCTTTTCCCCCCTTCCCATCTTTTGTTGTTTTCCCGACCCGAACCCCACCCCTCCCGCTGTCCCCGATACCTCTCCCCTTCCTCCTTCCCCCGACGCCCCCACCCCGCCCCCGAACTTCCCCTACTGCTCCCTTCTTCCCTCCTCCCACCCAACAACAGAACCGTCCGCCCCCCCTCGAGACGTAAAATGTGTCAGCACCAGATCCACGGCCATTCTGGTAAGTTGGCGGCCCCCTCCAGCCGAGAGCCAAAATGGCGTCTTGAACGGATATAGCGTTCGCTACCGAGCCCTGGACTCAGAGGACACGGAGCCGAGAGAGGTGACCAACATTCACGCAAGCACCAATCACATCCTCCTGGAATCGCTGGAGAAGTGGACCGAATACCGCATCACTGTGGTGGCGCACACGATGGTGGGATCCGGGCCAGAAAGCTCACCGGTCATCGTCCGCACCGACGAAGACGGTAATTGGTTCCTCCGCCTCTCTGTTGAGCCTCCTGGAGAGTTAGGCCAGAGATATTGGGTGGGGCAAGGGAGGGAGGGCAGGGTCAGGTCCGTCTTACCCATAGGCGCAATGGGTGCAGGGCATAGATAGATAAACTTTATTCGCATTAGCCAACGGCCATAGCAACATAAAACAAGCAATATATACAATTAAAAAGACAACATTGGGTAAAAAGGGCATTCAAATGACCAAGATTATCGTTCAGATAGTGGCCCTTAATTTCATTGCACCCTCGATAAACCTAGCAACCTGTTGTCTGATCATTTTGATCTTAATAATAATAATAATAATAATAATTTATACCCCGCCCTCCCCAGCCAAGGCCGGGCTCAGGGCTGCTAACAACCAATAATAAAAACGAGTTGAATGAATACAACTTAAAAACAAGATTAAAATACAACAATAAAACAGTTAAAATGCACAACGAAAGAACAATGTGGCCACAGATGGGCGGCCTGGGATGGCAAGTAAGAGTGGGGTGGTGATCTCATTCCTCAGATCTTTATAAAGGGGACAGGACAGGAGAACATGAGCCACTGTTTCCCGATTGCTGGGGCCCGGGAGTTGAGTCTGGGGAAGAGCTTGCCCGTCAGCCGGAGTGCTGCAGCAGTTCAGGGGCAACCAAGCCAGTGAGAGACTGAGGCGGCCGCGCTCCTGCACGCCTGGGACTGGGCAACCTGGAAGCCGGGCAGATCTTTGGACCCCGGCGCTGCATATGCTTAAGACAGCCCTGGGCAGGGTGTCCCAAACAGAGCTATAAGGAGCCTTTTAAGGCAGGGTTTCCAAAACCGATGCCCTCTCCATCGCTCTTCCTGGTAACTTCCAGGCTGGGCTACCGCAATTCGCTCTACAGGGGGCCGCCCTTGAAGGCGACCCAGAAACGTCAGTCTGAAATGCAGCCTCCCAGAGTGGCTGGGGCAACCCGCTTGGGTTGCAAATACAAATGTGTAGTTTGCTTTTTAAAACTTGCTGGTTTATTTCCAAGCCCAGTTTGAGGTGTTGGTGTTGGTCTTTAAAGGCCTCAACGACTTGGGCGGCAAGTAGTAGTAGTAGTAATTTATTATTTATACCCCGCCCATCTGACTGGGTCTCCCCAGCCACTCTGGGCGGCTTCCAACAGAACACTAAAATACAATAAAATACAATATCTGAAAGGCCGCCACGTAGCCTCTCAGGTGCTGAGATCAACAGTGGGGAGGGGGCTCTTGGTTGTTCCTTAGAGTGGCAGCCCAGGGGGACGGGGCCTTCTCTGTGGCAGCCCCTAAGCTAGCCGTGGAACTCGCTGCATTCAGAGGTGTGCCTGGCACCTTCATTGTAGAGCTTGCAGAGAATGCTGAAGACGTGCTTACTGGCTTTTGGGCCCCAACTTACTCTCTTCTCATGTAATTCACTTTACGCTGCTTTGTAATGTTGTGTTTTAACGTTGTAACCTACCCTGGAACCTTAAGGTGAAGGGCAGCCAATAGACAAACAAATGAATCTCAGTTGGTGAGACCACAGTGGTGATAACAGCTAAAGGCTGCAGGTTCGATCCCCTTACGGGACAGGCGCATACTTCACACTTGCTCCCCTGTAAAAAGAAAATATCTGCTTTCCAATGGTGTGTGATTGAGGGCTTAGCTCCATCCGAAGAACCTCCTCCCCTTTATTTCTGCACGAGATTAGCCGGGACTCTGCAGGGACTCATGCAGAGACACAACTCTCTTAGAATAATTCCACGATGTGTGCGTGCATCTGGTCTCACCCTGGCAGGAGGACCTCCCTGCTCCGAGTGGAAATGTATTGGGAAGAGGAGGTGCCGGAGCACTCACCCAGAGGGGCAACAGGCAGCTTTTCCCTCCCTTCCTTTCTCCCATCGTGGTTGGGCGTTCGATAAGCCCTTAATTAATTCCTAGTGGCACTTTCTTTGTTTTAGAGGGCCGTAAATATCCCACTCTCTGCCAAAGACTGAGCACCCGAAGCCATGTCTGTAATGTAGTAAGATAAACCAATTACAGCGCAGGAGCTTCTGGAATAATTTTAAAGAGAGAGAGAGACAGACTTGTGTTAGGATTTAAGGACCATATCGCTGCTTTGTTTGAGATATTCTTTTATCTCCGCATTGTGGCGTTTTAGTCCGTCAGTGCAGCGTTCGGGGGGGGGGGTGCTGTCCCTCGGCAAAAAATAATTCCCTTTGTTGACTGTGCCCGGCTGCAGAGGGTTGGACTAGATGGCCTTTGGGGTTCCCTTCCAAATCGACGATTCTGCGCTTCCGCAGAAAGGCAGGCGGAACCTGAAGCAGGGGAGTGAGGGATTCGAGTGGATCTGGCTTCTTCGCCATGCGCCGCTCTTTGCAGCACAATTTGCTTTCGGCAAATGCTGAAGTTGTTCCTCTTTGATTCCTGGGATGAGTGTTTTGAGGGCCCATCCCTACCTGAGATTCCCGCTTTGCGGGGGTTGGTCTAGATCAGTGTTCCCCAACCTTGGGCCTCCAGCTGTTTTTTTGGACTACAATTCCCATCATCCTTGACCACTAGTCTTGCTAGCGAGGGATGATGGGAGTTGTAGTCCAAAAACAGCTGGAGGCCCAAGGTTGGGGAACACTGGTCTAGATGACTCTTGGCCCCCTCCCAGCTCTCCAGTTCTGCGATTCTGACCATCCTACCCCACTCTCCCTGCGGCTGCCGTCCGTTTTTAGCTGTTTTTAATTCTGGATTTTCACTTGTTGCAGCCTGCCCTGGGACACTCCACTGCTGGTGGGGGTAATAAATTTAATAATAAGAAGAACAATGCTTTATAGCAACGGTTCTCAAACTTTTTCCCCTGGGCCACACTTCCCCAAAAAAATTTTTTTAAGGCTTGCGCCACACCAGGTTTTTTTAATTCACAAGAAATACATTTGACAATAAAAACCGACAACGCCTACTACTAGTGCTTGATTTTGAAAAGATATCTATCCAAATTCTGAAAATAAATTTTAAAAATTGATGCTGTACTATATTATTTCCCCTAAATTGATTTTTGATTTTTGAATTTTATTGTTATACTGTATTTTATGCTGCTTTTATAATTAAGTGTTTTAAATTTGTTGTTAGCCGCCCTGAGCCTGGTTTTTGAACCGGGAAGGGCGGGGTATAAATAAAAATTTATTATTATTATTAGTTATTATATTACACTGAAGTATTTAAATGTTTATTCGATTGTCCTTGAGTCTTCCTACCTAACCTATCACAGAATAGTAGAGTTGGAAGGGACCACAAAGGACATCTAGTCCAACCCCCTTTAATGCAGGAATCTCAACAAAATCATCCATGACAGAGGGCCATCCCGCCTCTGCCTAAAAACTTCCAAGGAAGGAGAGTCTACCACCATCCGAGGGAGTCCCTTCCGCTATCAAACAGCTCTTGCTGTCAGAAAGTTCTTCGTCATGTTTGGTCAGAATCTCCTTTCTTGTAACTTGAAGCTGTGGGTTCAAGTCCTACCCTCCTCCAGAGCAGGAGAAAAGCAAGCTTGCTCCCTCTTCCATGTTGACAGCTGCCACACCTTGAACCCAGAACCGCTGCTTTGCAGAGTGGGATTAACTGACTCAGATCACCAAGGATTCTGGGTGGCCGAAATAGTATCCTAGCATAAATCCTGCTTTTCTTTCTCAGCAACCATGGCAGCTCCAGGTTAGGCTGTGACCATCCCCTGGAGAGCCGCCGTTAGTCATCATAGCACTGAGCTACATGAGCGGGATGCGGGTGGCGCTGTGGGTTAAACCACAGAGCCTAGGACTTGCCGATCAGAAGGTTGGCGGTTCGAATCCCTGCGACGGGGTGAGCTCCCGTTGCTCGGTCCCTGCTCCTGCCCACCTAGCAGTTCGAAAGCACGTCAAAGTGCAAGTAGATAAATAGGTACCACTTCGGCGGGAAGGTAAACGGTGTTTCCGTGCGCTGCTCTGCTTCGCCAGAAGTGGCTTAGTCCTGCTGGCCACATGACCCGGAAGCTGTATGCTGGCTCCCTCGACCAGTAAAGCGAGATGAGCGCCGCAACCCCAGAGTTGGCCACGACTGGACCTAATGGTCAGGGGTCCCTTTACCTTTACATGAGCCAATGGCCACTCATTGTAGACCGCTGTTTCTCAAACTTGGGTCCCCAGCTGCTTTTGGACTACAACTCCCATCACCCCTATCTGTGAGGAGCTAGTCAGGAGCAGGTCAGCAATGAAACACCTGGTGTCAGTGAACTCTATATTCAAGGAAACGAGATTGGCCCAGGAAGCCAGGCCTAGTGAGCAAAGCAACTGACCCTGGCAAGACAATATACGATATATGGTATTTTTATTGTCATTGTCCCATACAGAACAATGAAATTGAAAAACTACATAAAACATTCAAAAACCCCTAAAAACTCTGAAACCCCATTTTAAAATACACTGTACTATACTATAAAGGTAAAGGGACCCCTGACCATTAGGTCCAGTCATGACCGACTCTGGGGTTGCGGCGCTCATCTTGCTTTATTGGCCGAGGGAGCCGGAGTACAGCTTCTGGGTCATGTGGCCAGCAGGACTAAGCCGCTTCTGGCGTACCAGAGCAGCGCACGGAAACGCCGTTTACCTTCCCGCTGGAGCGGTACCTATTTATCTACTTGCACTTTTTGGTGTGCTTTTGAACTGCTAGGTTGGCAGGAGCAGGGACCGAACAACAGGAGCTGACCCCGTTGCGGGGATTCGAACCACTGACCTTCTGATTGGCAAGCTCTAGGCTCTGTGGTTTAACCCACAACGCCACCCCCAACCCTATACTATACTATAAAAACCCCTAAAACTCTGAAACCCCATTTTAAAATACACTATACTATAAAATGCACTTTACCAAAAAATACACTATACTATAGAGACCCCTTATGCTGCGTTTAGAACCAGAATTGCATTTGCGTAGAAACTGTTTCTCAGGCGACCTAGCCCCTATGAGGCGGTTGCTAGGACTGAAGGTCCCTGCCCTCTCACAGTCTCTCCTTCGGGCACTGGCAGAGGAAGAGGGGTATGGGGGAGCGCAGCGCCCCCAGCAACGCGATCCCGGTGGGGTGCCATCGCAACTGCACCCCGCCTGCTCTCCACCCTCCGGTCCTGGAGCCTGAAGCTCCACCACTGCCTTCGGGTCCTTCCCCAGCAATCTGAGACTTCTCTACCTTATTTATCTCTGCTCCACCCTTTTCATGCCTCTTCTGGTTCTGGGAGACCAGTGGAGAGGGTAGCTGGTCACAGCAGGAAGGAGCCTGCCTCATGTCTCCTGGTCCCCCTACGCTGAGTCTGGACTGCTCTCTGCCCCAGCCTCTTCCTGCTCACTAAAGCCTGTTGCCTCTCCAGCTGCCGACACCTCCTCCTCCTGCCAATCTTCCGGGCTCTGAGCCTTCGTCCCCTGGGGGTTCCCTTGGGGGTTCCCCAACTGGTACCTCCCACCACTCCTTTGCATCCAGGCAGCCCGTAGCATAGCAGGACCAGGGGTCGGGGATAGTGGTAGTCCCAACAACTTCTGGAGACCCAAGCTTTGAGAACCATGAGGACTAGTGCCTTTAGATATAAGGGAAAGGTTGCAACTCACTCACAAGGCTCACTCCTACACCTTTGGGACCTGACGCTCCTGAACCGCTGTGTTTGTGTAGAGAATAAAATTGGGCTAAATGGCAGAGAAGCCGATCTCAGGTCCTTTGAACCCTGGATGATTTTAGCGTCATTTGAATTTCCTGTGTTAAAGCTGAAACATGCACCTTGTCTCTCTCTCTCTCTCTCTCTGTTCCTCTGGCTCCTTCCTTTCCCTCTCTTCCAGTGCCCAGTGCCCCGCCACGCAAAGTGGAAGTGGAGGTTCTGAATTCGACCGCCATCCAAGTGTCCTGGCGCTCGCCGCTCCAGAACCGCCAGCACGGGCAGATTCGCGGCTACCAAGTACACTACATCCGAATGGAGAACGGGGAAGCCAGCGGTCTACCCCAGATCAAAGACGTGATGCTGGCTGATGCGCAGGTGAGCGCTGCTGCTGCTGCTGCTGCTGCTGCTTCTCCTAATCAACTGCGATAGCCTAACATCCGTTCTCTGCGCGCTCTGCTGACGTCTGGGTTAGGCTACTGCAAGGTGCTAAGTGTAGGGCTGCCCTTGAAGATGGTTCAGAGCCTGGGCGCATAACACCAAAGCTGACCCCTAGGCTGAACAAACCCCTGTGTTGCAAAGAGAACGTCAGCAATGTCTAGGCAACACAATGACCGTGTACCGTATTTTTTGCTCTATAAGACGCACCAGACCATAAGACACACCTAGCTTTTGGAGGATGAAAACAAGGGAAAAAATACAGTGGTGCCCCGCAAGACGAATGCCTCGCAAGACGGAAAACCCGCTAGACGAAAGGGTTTTCCGTTTTGGAGGTGCTTCGCAAAACGAATTTCCTATGGGCTTGCTTCGCAAGACGAAAATGTCTTGCGAGTTCCTGCAGGGGTTTTTTCCTTTCCCCCCCCTTTTCCCCAAGCCGCTTATCAGCTGATCCGCTAAGCCGCTTAACAGCTGATCCGCTACGCCGCTTAACAGCTGATCGCTAAGCCACTTATCAGCTGATCCGCTAAGCCGCTTATCAGCTAAGCCGCTAAGCCGCTTAACAGCTGATCCGCTAAGCCGCTAATAGCGCTAATCCGCTAAGCCGCTAATGGGCTTGCTTCGCAAGACGAAAAAACCGCAAGACGAAGAGACTCGCGGAACAGATTCTTTTCGTCTTGCGAGGCACCACTGTACTCTGAATCTCAGAAGCCAGAACAGCAAGAGGGATTGCTGCACAGCAAAACCTGTTCTGGTTTCTGGGATAGCTGTGCAGCCTGCATTCGCTCCATAAGACGCACACACATTTCCCCTTACATTTTAGGAGGGAAAAGGTGAGTCTTATCGAGCAAAAAACACGGTACATACGCAATAGACTTTATAGAATTCCTTCAAACCATAACAAGTCCTTCATAAACCCATCTTATTTTGAATGGATGTATGTAAATGAAAATATCAAATGCTGTGGAACAGTGCTCATGTAATAACGTAGTGACTATTTTCATTTACATACATTCATTCGAAATAAGGTGGGTTTATGAAGCAATTCTATATCCTCCCACCACGCTGACGAAGAATTCTACGAAACAGTAATCAATATCCGGAATCACTGTTCAGTGTTGGACATCGTATTTGCTGAATACACAAAGCTTCACAGCTTGACTTTCATTGTACAAAGTCGGGTACCTCGCTTCATTTAAGGATTTTCAGAGACTTTGAGACTAAAGATTTCATTTTGGACTTGTTATGGTGTTAAGGAATTCTATAAAAGATTGTCTATTGCGTATGTACATGGTCATCGTGTTGCCTAGACATTGCTGACACCTAGACTGCACTGGCTACCAATTAGCTTCCTTGTCCAATCCAGCGTTGGATTTGACCTACAAAGCCTTATTCAGCTCTGGACCCCAGTACCAGCGCCGAGGGCCTTCTGGCAGTTCCCTCGCTGCGAGAAGCCAAGTTACAGGGAACCAGGCAGAGGGCCTTCTCGGTGGTGGCACCCGGCCTGTGGAACGCCCTCCCACCAGATGTCTAAAAGAACAACAACTCCCAGACTTTTAGAAGACATCTGAAGGCAGCCCTGTTTAGGGAAGCTTTTAATGTTTGACGGTATTTTAATATTTTTTTGGAAGCCGCCCAGAGCGGCTGGGGAAACTCAGCCAGATGGGCAGGGTATAAATAATAAATTATTATTATCATTATTATAGTATATCTCCAGGACCGCCTCTCTCCTTATGAACCAACCTGGACGCTGAAATTGTCCTCTGACGCTCTTATCTTTGCGTTCCCTCCAAGGGAGCTCTAGAGCAGCGGTTCTCAACCTGTGGGTCCCCCCGATGTTGTTGGACTACAACTCCCATCATCCCTGAGCTCCGGCCTTGCTAGCTAGGGGTGATGGGAGTTGTAGTCCAACAACATCTGGGGACCCACAGGTTGAGAATTGCTGCTCTAGAGGGTGGCAACATGAGAACAGGCCTTTTCAGTGGTGGCTCCCTGCTTGTGAAATGCTCTCCCCAGAGAGGCTCACCTGTCGACATCATTATCTGCTTTTAGTCAACAAGGCGAAAGCATTTTCCCCACCACACTTCGGCTCTTAGTTATTATCTGCAGCCTCTTGTTAGTGGGTGGGATGTTTTAATCCTGCCTTTCAAAAGGGGGGGGGATGAATGCGTTTCAGATGTTGATACGCTCTGTTTCATATTGCTTTTAACGTTATGTGCTTTGATTATTTACTGTGAGCGCTTTGAATTGCTTCTGTAAGAGGGAAAAAATATGTTGGAGGGACGCGGGTGGCGCTGTGGGTTAAACCACAGAGCCTAGGACTTGCCGATCAGAAGGTCAGCGGTTCGAATCCCCGTGATGGAGTGCGCTCCCGTTGCTCGGTCCCTGCTCCTACCAACCTAGCAGTTCAAAAGCAAGTCAAAGTGCAAGTAGATAAATAGGTACCACTCCGGCGGGAAGGTAAACGGCGTTTCCGTGCGCTGCTCTGGTTCGCCAGAAGCGGCTTAGTCCTGCTGGCCACATGACCCGGAAGCTGTACGCCGGCTCCCTCGGCCAGTAAAGCGAGATGAGCGCCGCAACCCCAGAGTCGGCCACGACTGGACCTAATGGTCAGGGGTCCCTTTACCTTTTAAGTATGTTGGTGGTTAAACCTGGGAGCTTCCGAATGCAAGGCAATATGCACTGCAGCTGAGCTCTGCCTGCATCAAGTATAAATTGCCTTCTGAACCGCTGGTCCATTTGGCTCACCATCGTCCACTCTGACTAGCACCAGCTGTCCAGGGTTTCAGGCAGGGACTGCATGCACACAGGAGCTCTAACCATTGAGCGACATTCCCCCCGCCCCCCAAAAACAAACCTTTCACCTTGAAAATGTTCCACGCTCTGAAAAGGGTTGTTGTTTTCCCCCCCAGTTGGCGCCACTGCAGATGCTGCCTTTTCAAAGCTCTGCCACTGCTATCTGTAAGAATCATAAAATTCTAGTGGGGGGAGCCCAGAGGTCATCTAGTCCAACCCCCCAGTAGCGCATCCTACTAACCTCATCCCTCCTTGGACCTCCTCCTCTTCATGGGCTTCCGAGAAGCGGGCTATTTTGCTTCCTCTGCAAACTTTCTCTCTCTCTCTGTCTGTCTTACACGTTTTCCTCTTTCTGTCCTTAACCGCATACCCTCTTTTGCTCAGTGGGAAACCGATGACACTGCAGAATACGTAAGTACGGACTCTTTCTTGTCCGGGTGACCCTTTCGCTCTACTCCCCAAACCCCTTTCCCTTCCGTTGGTGATGCTGTGGCATTTGTGGATTTCTGCTTTCGCCCTTTTTCTCCTCCCATGCCCCATTCTGGCAGTTTCCCTTCCATCGCTCCAGGCAAAGGGAGGCCTTGCCAGCCGTTTAACTGGGCCACCATGCAGAGGCAGCTTCTGTCCACTATCATCTGTGATGTATCTCCTAATTTATAGCTCTCAAAGTGGCTTCCAAACACACATGTACAGTCTGGGGCAAATGTGGCCCTCCAGACCTCTCTACCTGGCCCAAGAAGCTCCCCCCAGGCACCACCGCCCATAGCTGTCAACTGTCCCTTATTTGGCGGGAAACTCCCTTATCCCTGCGCCGTGTCCCGCTGCTGTCCCTTATTGATGATGTCCCTTCAATTTCCCGGGTTTCAAAGGAAGCAGCTCCTCTCCCTCCCTCCCTGCCGGCCAAGGAGGAGGGAGGCTCCAACTGTGTTGCTTGGCTGCGTTGCTCACCCAATAAGGAGTCTAAGAACGACTGGGGGGTGGAGCTTGCATGCCTTGTGCCGATCAAATTGGCCGCGTTGCCTGGAGACTCTCCTTTGCTCAGCGCTTCCCAGCGGAGAGGTGACGGTGGTTTTCCTTGCTGCATCCCCTTTGCCGGGTTGCTGCGCTGTGGGAACCACCGCTTGAGGCTTCGTTTGGCTGCTGGCTGGGCTTTCTGCCTTTGGCTTAGAGGGGCTCAGAAGTTGAACATACCTGTGCTTGGGAAATCCCTTATTTTGGCTGCTGATCCCTTATTTTTGAGGCTGCTGGCCCCTTATTTTCAGATCTGTAAGTTGACAGCTATGCCACCGCCCCCTCGCCAGCCCTGATTCGCAGTCTCCTTCCATTTTTTTCTGAGCTCTTCTTGGAAGCTTAGTTTGTGCAGAAGGCTGGAATTCGTTCGCCATGCCTGGAGGATGGAGCGGAGGAAGGAGGGAAAGTAGCAAAGTGTCCAAAGGTGGTGTTTGGCAAATCACACTGCCCACCACTGACAAGTGCCCCCCTGAGGTCGCCCAGGAGAAAATGTGGCCCCCGGGTTCGGGGGGGGGCCTTCCCACGCTTGCTGCACAGGAACAGATGCTGCTCAGTGTCCTTGCAGAACCAGGAGCCCAAAGAATTGATCACAAGACCACACCACAGGCACACAATTTGAGCGGCAATGCCAATAATAATAATAATAAATTTTATTTATATCCCGCCCTCCCCAGCCGAAGCCGGGCTCAGAGCGGCTAACAACAGTAAAATGATACCACATTCTAAAATCAATTCATTCTAAAATCAGTTCAAATCTAATTAATGGCACCCATTAATGGCACCCATTGGGCTAGAGTTCTGTGAGGATTACCAAAGGACTGGTGGAACAGCTCTGTCTTGCAGGCCCTGTGGAAAGATATCAAGTCCCGCGGGGCCCTAGTCTCTTGTGACAGAGCGTTCCACCAGATTGGGGCCACAGCTGAAAAGGCCCTGGCTCTGGTCGAGGCCAGCCTAACCTCCCTGTGGCCCGGGACCTCCAAGATGTTTTTGTTTGAAGACCGTAGGGTCCTCCGTGGCACATACCAGGAGAGCTTTGGGTTCCCAGCCCCCACAAATATTTAATTGGGGGGAGCCAAAGGGACCTTGGTGGGACGCGGGTAGCGCTGTGGGTTAAACCACAGAGCCTAGGGCTTGCCAATCAGAAGGCCGGCAGTTCGAATCCCCACGACGGGGTGAGCTCCCGTTGCTCGGTCCCTGCTCCTGCCAACCTAGCAGTTCGAAAGCACGTCAAGTGCAAGTAGATAAATAGGTACCACTCCGGCGGGAAGGTACCACTCCGGCGTTTCCGTGCGCTGCTCTGGTTCACCAGAAGCGGCTTAGTCATGCTGGCCACATGACCCGGAAGCTGTACGCTGGCTCCCTCGGCCAGTAAAGTGAGATGAGCGCCGCAACCCCAGAGTCAGACACGACTGGACCTAATGGTCGGGGTCCCTTTACCAGGGACCTTGGCTCCTGCGCTTGCTGCCCTGCTCCCCACCTCTCCCGTCTCTGAAACAAGGGAAGGGGGGAGACCCTGGCAAAGTGGCCTTGAGCTGACAGGGCGGTACCCCAAAACAGCTGCATTCCCAGTCCCCAAAGGCACCCCCTGCCTGGAATTAAAGCGCCCCGTTGCCGCCGCCCTCAAACACACAGGCACCCTCTTCCAGAATCGGCTTGTCAGCAGGGGAGGGGTGCATGGTGTTTGCACGTGAAAAGGAGGTTTTTAATCTCCTTGAAGCTGCTGGGTTCTCTTTTCCTCCCCTCTCCTCTGAGACTCTGGACTCCTTTGAAGAAGCTGGCAGAACGTTTTGACAGCGGATGCATTTTCTGCCGAGATATGAGGGAGAGAAGCTGGGAGGCAGATGGAGGAGCAAAGGCCCGCCCCCCCCCTCTCTCTCCCGGCTGCACGTTTTGCATAAAGAGGATTCCTCAGAGTGTGTGTGTTTTCGTAGCTAAACTGTGTGCATTTCCTTCCCGCAACCTCGCAACCCCGCTTTTGCTTTTCCTCTCGCTTGCGTTGTGTCGTGTTCCCTGCATGCATCGCCGTTGTTGGTGCCCCCCCCCCCAGCCACCGCCAAGCTCAAACTGTTCTGCCTTCGGTATTTTAAAAGGGTAAAAACATCTCTCTCTCTCCTCTTGGATTCGTGTCCCCAGGAAATGATCATCGCTGGGTTGCAGCCAGAGACTGCCTATTCCATCACTGTGGCTGCCTATACCATGAAAGGCGACGGCGCCCGCAGCAAACCCAAGGTGGCCGTGACCAAGGGGGCAGGTGGGTATCTCTCTTGCAGGGCTGTTGCACAAAGGCAGCTCCAGAATGCTTCCTTTTCTGCTTTTAAAATCATTTTAAAAAATATTATTTCATCATCAACAACCATTACTAAACCCAGTGCAGCATCAGGGTACAGTGGTACCTCGCAAGACGAATGCCTCGCAAGACAAAAAAACTCGCTAGACGAAAGGGTTTTTTGTTTTTTGAGCTGCTTCGCAAGACGATTTTCCCTATGGGCTTGCTTCGCAAGACGGAAACGTCTTGCAAGTCTGTTTCCTTTTTCTTAACACCGTTAATACAGTTGCGACTTGACTTCGAGGAGCAACTCATAGCACGCGGTGTGGTAGCCTTTTTTGAGGTTTTTAAAGACTTTGGTGATTTTTGAAGCTTTTCCAAAACTTTCCCGACACCGTGCTTCGCAAGACGAAAAAAATCGCAAGACGACAAAGCTCGCGGAACAAATTAATTTCGTCTTGCGAGGCACCACTGTACTGCCTCGTGCCATGTACAAAGCAAGCGATAAATAAGAAGCAAAAGTTATGGTAGCACCCCGTTATCAACCAAGACACCCATATTTCCCAAGGTGGCGTGGATGGTGAACGTTGAGCATTCTGAGTTTGAAGCGCAGGAATTAAAAAATCCTACTCCGTGCCGTAAGTTCAGGCAGTGATTGCCTAGAAGCTCATGAGAGTGATTGGCTAGAAGATAAGGATTCTGATTGGTGTGCAGCGGAGGATTCTGATTGGCTAGCAAATAAGGGTGTAAATTGGCAAGACGATCAGGATCCTGATTGGTGTGCAGCGGAGGATTCTGATTGGCTAGAAAATAAGGATGTAGATTAGCTAGATGATCAGGATCCTGATTGGCTAGAAAATAAGGATGTAGATTGGCTAGAGGATCAAGATTCTGATTAGTGTGAAGCTGAGGATTCTGATTGGCTAGAAGATCAGCATTTTGATTGGCTAGAAGATCAGGATCCTGATTGGCTAGAAAATAAGGATGTAGATTGGCTAGAGGATCAAGATTCTGATTAGTGTGAAGCTGAGGATTCTGATTAGCTAGACTATATGATTGGCTAGAAGATTACTATTGTGATTCACTAGATGACTAGACCTTCCAGGACTCTCCCCCGCAAAAAACTCATCTTTTGTGAAGATTTGTCTTCATGTTTTTCTCCGCTCCTCCTCCTCATTTTCTTCCTAGATCTTATTTCATTGCTGCTGGGTTTGTCCATCCATCCATCACTGAAGGAGTATCTCTCCAGCAGATAAGCTCTTATCCAAGAACTCGTTCCACTTAGCTCCAGATAGATAATTTGTTTTCTTTCTTTTTTTAAAGGGAAAAAAAAATCCTAATTTGGGGGAATTGCTTCTTTTCCTTGCCAAATCTTTCAAATGGGTCTTTGGCGATCTTTTATCTGCTTTGTGCTGTTCAGTCAATAATTCACATTTTGGTAAAGGGAAAACAATTTCTCAAGCTCACATCATCCCCGGAGCTCACAGGGTGTTTTTGGGCCAGCTGCTGCCCCTCTCAGCCAAACCTGCCTCACAGGGCTGTTGTGGAAATAAAAGCAGGGTGTTGGGAGAAAGAACCGTCCTTGAATACAGAAATCCCAAGCCCAGCCCCTGGCAGTCTCAAGACAGGAGAGTAATTGTTGGTCAGAATCAGGCAATCCTGGACAAGCAGATGATCTGGAGTCCCAGTTTCGGCCCCTCCAGATGCCCTTTTTTAAAAAGTGTGCATTCGCGATGATTCGTGCACAGGGCAGTCACACACAATCCCACTTTCAGTCCAGTCACACTGCGGCGGATATCCAGTATCCTCCTGCTAAAGTCCTGTAATGTTTCATCCTGCAGGTAATTCTGGTTAATTTTTCTCCTGATTTTGCAATGCCATAGCTCCCCTTTTATATATATTATTAGTTTTTTAACATATCATTTTCAACAGTTATTAAACATAGTTTTACATCTTATACAATTTCTTTGACTTCCCTCAATCACATCTGAAAATTTTCCAATCTTTTCACTTAATATACATTTCTTACTTTCACTATTACATTTAAATCTCATAACTGATGTCTCTCTTCTTTGCAATATTTCATATATTTCTTCTTACAAAACTTTTTGTACTCCTGCTAGCGTAATTTGTTGATGATAGTCGCTCTTCAAATAGTTCGTATATTTCTTCCAATCTTCTGTAAATCTCTGGTCCCCCAGGTTTCGAATCCTTCCTGTCATTTTATCCAGTTCTTTTTTTTTTTTCATTTTTCAATAATATTTTTATTCATTTTCCACAAAAGAAAAAAAACACATTTTTTTATACAATCAATTCACATTTTATCACACATTCATCTCTTTTTTTTACTTCCCTCAGCTCCTCTGCCGATCTTTCGTTTGCGTCAATATTATTAACGCATTTCTTAACTTAGTAATTGCCTTTAGATATCTCCTTCCCTCCTCTTATTTTCTTTTTAACAATATTCCTCTGTTTTTCACAGAGTCTCTTGAAAACCAACAAACGTTATCTGTTCATCACATATGCCTTTCAGATAATCTGTAAATCTTCCCCAGTCCTCGATGAACTTTTGGTCTCGTTGATACCGAATCTTCCCTGTTAGTTTGTCCAATTCTGCATAATCAGTCAATTTCAGTCTCCATTCTTCCACCGTCGGTAACTCTTCCTGTTTCCATTTTTGCGCATTTTATCCAGTTCTGCGTAGTCCATTAGTTTCGTCTGCCATACTTCTTTCGTCGGGATTTCTTCTTGCTTCCATTTCTGAGCCGACAATACTCTTGCCGCTGTTGTTGCATATGAGAAGCAGTGTCATAGCTTCTCAGGTCAGTAGCAAAGCGGTGTCATAACTGGGGAAGCCATTGCACAGCGAACGGTTAAATAGGATAGATCCAGCGCTGAGATTTTGTCAAGAACTTGTTGCAGGGAGTCAGAACAAATCCTGAACCATCTTGGAATGTTTTCCTCCCTAAGAGAGCAAGAATAGAGAGTGCCCATCTTCACTATACATTTAAAGCAGTGCCATCAGTGGCGTAGCGTGGGGGGTGCCAGGGGTGCCGGCCGCACCGGGCGCAACATTTTGGGGGGCGCGTTTGGCCGGCCCCCCTCGAGGAAGCGGGAACCTCTCCAAGGCACAGCGTGCCGTCGGTAGAGGAAAAAAGCCGCGCAGCAGCAGCAGCAAAGTCGGGAGGAGGAGGAGGTGGAGCGAGCCTGCTAATTCCTTGCTGGGAATTAAGCGGCTCAAGACTCTCTCCACTGGCCGCCTGGGTAGTGAGCCGAGCCGAGCAGGGAGTCTGGCGAGGGGGCGGGAAGAGACTTTCCCCCCTTTTTTCCACCTCGCCTGGTCAAAAAGGAGAGCGGAGTCTCCTCAGGGCGCCCTCAGGCAGGGCAGGGAAAGGCAAGCAGAGCGAGGAGGAGAGGGGGGGGGAGCAGCCAGGAAACGCCGCGGTGTGGAGGAGGAATCAATTTAGGAGAGAAAGCGAAAAGCCTTGGAGAAAGGGGGAAAAGGAAAGAAAAGAGGCAGCTCCAGGAGAGCGCGGGGGAAAGAGAAGCCTCGCTGCTGCTGCTTGGGAGAGTAAATTACTGTACTTGCCTTGCCCCGGGTTAGGGGGCGCAAATTACTTGCCTTGCCCCGGGTTAGGGGGCGCAAATTACTTGCCTTGCCCCGGGTGCTGATAACCCACGCTACGCCGCTGAGTGCCATATCACTTTAAACAGCCCCCTCCCAAAGGATTCTGGGAGCTGCAGTTTGTTCTGAGTCCTGAGAACCCTTAGCTCTCTGCATTTGTCTCAAAATATGTTCCTGCATTGGCTCTTCACTTCTCTAAGGCCCCGTATAAGCCATAGGTTTAAGGCAGGATCAGACCACTTCAAACAGTCATGACTTCCCCCCCCAAAGGATTCTGGGAAGTGTAGTTTGTTCAGAGTGCTGGAATTTGTTAGGCAACCCTGGACCCCTCTTACAGAGCCATCCTCAGCCATCTGAAATTCTCATTTCTTTAAACTGGCCATCTGTCGGTAGAGCATGAGACTTTATCTCAGGGCTGTGAGTTCGAGTTTGCCCACGTTGGGCAAAAGATTCCTGCGTTGTAGGCGGTTGGACTAGATGACCCTCATGGTCTCTTCCAACCGTATGATTCTGTGGGAGGAGGAGGTGTCAGAAGCAGAAAAGGGAACAGGGCTTAGTGAGCAGGGAGAGGCTGTGGAAGAGAAAAGTTCAGAAACAGAAAAGGAGAGGGGCCAAGAGGTAGAGAGGAAGTCCGTCTGGTGAAGAGTCACGGATTTCTCCCCCTCCTGCTGCAACCAACTCCGCTCCCTCTGGTCTCACAGAACCAAGAGAGGTGTGAACAGGGTGGAGGAGAGGTTGAGCTGCATGCAGGCACAGTCTCTGATTGCCTGGGGAAAGCCCTGGAGACTTTGGCAGCTGTGGGGAGGCGAGGACTTTATTTATTATAAATTTATTATTTATACCCCGCCCATCTGGCTGAGTTTCCCCAGCCACTCTGGGCGGCTTCCAATCAAGTGTTAAAAACAATATAGCATTAAACATTAAAAACTTCCTTAAACTGGGCTGCCTTCAGATGCCTTTTTAAAGATAGGATAGCTGCTTATTTCCTTCACATCTGAAGGGAGGGCGTTCCACAGGGCGGGTGCCACTACCGAGAAGGCCCTCTGCCTGGTTCCCTGTAACCTTACTTCTCGCAATGAGGGAACCGCCAGAAGGCCCTCGGCGCTGGACCTCAGTGTCCGCATAGAACGATGGGGGTGGAGACGCTCCTTCAGGTATACAGGACCGAGGCCGTTTAGGGCTTTAAAGGTCAGCACCAACACTTTGAATTGTGCTCGGAAACGTACTGGGAGCCAATGCAGATCTCTCAGGACCGGTGTTATGTGGTCCCGGCGGCCACTCCCAGTCACCAGTCTGGCTGCCGCATTCTGGATTAATTGTAGTTTCCGGGTCACCTTCAAAGGTAGCCCCACGGAGAGCGCATTGCAGTAGTCCAAGCGGGAGATAACTAGAGCATGCACCACTCTGGCAAGACAGTCTGCAGGCAGGAAGGGTCTCATCCTGCGTACCAGATGGAGCTGGTAGACAGCCGCCCTGGACACAGAATTGACCTGTGCCTCCATGGACAGCTATGAGTCCAAAATGACTCCCAGGCTGCACACTGGTTCCTTCAGGGGCACAGTTACCCCATTCAGGACCAGGGAATCCCCCACACCCGCCCGCCCCCTGTTCCCCAAAAACAGTACTTCTGTCTCGTCAGGATTCAACCTCAATCTGTTAGCCGCCATCCATCCTCCAACCGCCTCCAGGCACATTAGGTCCGACATCCCACCAAGCCTGGGCAAGTCGTGTTCTTGCACATTAATTCCCAACTCGCACGGTGTGCGATTCACTGCCGCCTCTCCTCCTGACCTAGTCTACCTCTCTTCTCTCCTCAAGTCCCAGGGAAGCCGATCCTGTCCGTCCACCCGACTCAAGAAAATGCCCTGCTGGTCAAGTGGGAGCCTCCTCTGGACGCAGAGGGTCAGGTGCTAGGCTACCGCTTGCAGTTCGGCCGCAGGGACGTTGACCCCTTGGCGACGCTGGAATTCTCCTCGGAGGAGGACAGGTACACGGCCACCAACATCCACCGAGGGGCCACTTACGTCTTCAAGCTGGCCGTCAAAAGCCGGTCCGGCTTCGGGGAGGAAGCGGTCCAGGAGCTCACCATCCCAGAAGACGTGCCCAAGGGGTACCCGCAGATCCTCGAGGCCAGCAACATCACCTCCAAGTCGGTGCAGTTCCACTGGATGCCCCCGGTCATGGCGGAGAGGAACGGGGTCATAGTGAAGTACACCGTGGCCTATCGCGAGGCCGCGTCTTCCGGGAGCCCGCAGGAGAAGGATCTCCCTCCGTCTCCCGAGAACTCGTACACGCTGAATGGCCTCAAGCCCAACACGGCCTACGATGTTAAAATCCGAGCCCACACCAGTAAAGGTCCGGGGCCGTACAGCCCTTCTGTCCAATACCGGACGTTCCTCCTGGACCAAGGTAGGACTTACCGACTTCTCCACGGTGACTCTCTCTCCCTGTATCCTGAGCCGCTCCCGGGAGGCAGAGAAGTAAACAAAACCACAAAGCGATTAAAAATGAAATGCAAACAAAAACACACAAGCCCGCAAATCAAAAGCCATTAAGCTCCCCGCTGGCTTGGAAGACAGGCGTGCGAGTACGTTCCTTTAAAAAAAATAAAATATCAAAATTAGAAAGGCAGGTGGGTTCTCTCTGCCTTCGGCAGGTAAGTCCTCTTTCCTCTTTCTTCCGAAAGTCAAGTCCAGACAGTCCTCCTTGATTGACAGCTGGGCGGAGCAGTCGCTATCACAGGTGGGAGGAGCCTTTTCTTCTGCTTTCTCGCCTTTTCTTTCTCTTTTTCTCTTTCTCTTTCTCTCTCTCTCTCTCTTTTGCAAACCACAAAACAGGGGAAGGGGAGATAAACGAAACACGAGCCCCACATGTCCTGTCCCCCCGCAGAGGCCCTTTTCTCCTCAGCAGCCAATCAGGAGCTACGTAGCCTGTTTTCGAGGGGCGGGCACAGGGAGGAGGGGCGTGTCCCGTTGTGTGACGTCATGGCGCCAGGGTTGGGTGCGGGACGGAACGGAACGGAATGGGCAACCTTTCTGGGCGGAAGCCATAGCGCTGTGTATTTTGGAAGGCATTGCCTGTTTGTTGGAAGATGATTCTTGCCGGTTGTTTGGAATTCCAAAATGTGGCTCTTTTCACCCCGTTCCCCTTGCTCCCCGCCCCCTCTCACTGCTTTTCTCTCCAACAGTTTTCCCCAAAAACTTCAAAGTGAGGATGCTGACCAAGACGTCCGTTCTCCTAGGATGGGAGTTCCCCGAGAATTACAATTCTGCCGTTCCGTACACGGTACAGATTTATATTACGTTTGGGGAGCGTTGTGCTACCTGTCGGGGTGGGTAGGGGGTGGAGGGACCCCCCCTTTCGCCCCGAGGTTCACGTTCCCTCACTTGCCAACCTCTTGTAAATGTGCTGCCCCCTGGGGGGGGTTACCGTGAGGCATGGTCAGAATCTGGTCCTGGGTCGAGGGTCTGGAGACTGTCCACCAAGGGCGAAGCGGGGTCCAAAGCAAGAAGCTGGGGGTGGTTGGGAACTCCGGAAAAACAGGTCTGGGTGCTGGCAGCAACAGGTTTCCAACGTCGTTGCTCCCGCAACCTGGGACTGGGCTGACTGGCCTTTATCTCCTCTGAGGCATAGGGCGGCCCCGGTCCACAGGTGACCTGCCTCTCCTGGCCTTAAGGCGAGCACTCCTCCTGAGAGAACCTAGTTCCCTTCGCCTCTCTGCCCTGAGCCTCTGCAGCTCAGGAGAGGCTGGAGGGTTACTGGACCCAGAGGCAACCTCACCTTCCCCTGACAGAGCTGAGAGAGGTGCACCTGCAGGCAATGGGTCCTCCCTCCGGAGCCAGAGCAGATTCAGCTGGTGTCTGCTCTTGAGGATCCGGCACAGGTGAGGGCCCTTCAGGCTCAAGGCCCTGCCCCGGCTCAGCCGGCCCTGGAGGCGGGGACTCCTGTTCAGGCTGGGACTCCTCAGGTTCAGCCTCTGAATCAGATTCCCAGGCCATCACAGTAAATCTCGATTCGCTTCTCTCCTGCCCCCCCCCCCCGGACTTCAGATCCAGTACGAGGGCAAAGAGATCGAGGTGGACGGCCGTGCCACTAAGAAGCTCATCACAAACCTGAGACCTCACACGTTGTACAGGTTCATCCTGAAAGGTCCCAAGGGCACCTTGGGGAACCTCCAACAGCAGGTGGAGGTTTCGACGGCAGCCAACCTGCTCAGCCGGAAGCCGGAGGTGACCTACAGACACGACCTGGACGGGAGCATCGTGGTGAACCTACCGGAAGTGAAAGGCTCAGATTCACCTGCGCAGTACGTAAAAATAACAGGGAGGCAGTGTTAGGATATTTCCGTTCCTCCTTAAAAAGGGAGCAGGCTGTTGTGTGTCACAAGCCTGCGTACTTCCTGCTCACAGGGAGTTTCCATTTTGTATATAGCTTTTGTTTTCTGTCTGTTGCCTCGACACGAAGGCAGGCAGTCATGTTTTTCCTTTGTTCTGACCAACGCTGAATAAAGTTGTAAATAATAATAATAATAATTTATTATTTGTACCCCGCCCATCTGGCTGGGTTTCCCCAGCCACTCTGGGCGGCTTCCATAGAAACCAAAAAACACTAAAATATCACAGATTAAAAACTTCCCTGAACAGGGCTGCCTTAAGATGTCTTCTGAATGTCAGGTAAGTTGTTTATCGCTTTGACATCTGATGGGAGGGCGTTCCACAGGGTGGGCGCCACTACCGAGAAGGCCCTCTGCCTGGTTCCCTGTAGCTTTGCTTCTCGCAATGAGGGAACCGCCAGAAGGCCCTCGGCGCTGGACCTCAGCGTCCGGGCAGAACGATGGGGGTAGAGACGCTCCTTCAGGTATACTGGACGGAGGCCGTTTAGGGCTTTAAAGGTCAACACCAGCACTTTGAATTGTGCTCGGAAACGTACTGGGAGCCAATGTAGGTCTTTCAGGACCGGTGTTATATGGTCTCGGCGGCTGCTCCCGGTCACCAGTCTAGCTGCCGCATTCTGGATTAGTTGTAGTTTCCGGGTCACCTTCAAAGGTAGCCCCACATAGAGCACATTGCAGTAGTCCAAGTGGGAGATAACTAGAGCATGCACCACTCTGCTCTTCTGGGTGCACCTGGAATGTGTCTGAGGCTCGTGTCACTAACTGACTGATGCTGTTCTACGGGAGATCGATGGATCGTCTGGAGATGACTGTCTCCCTGGCAGTATCCCAACAGGCAGGGCCGTCTTACCCATAGGCGCTAGGGGTGCGGGGCACCCGGGCACCAGGCTCTTAGGGGCGCCAGGCCGAGAGTCCGGGGGCCTGGAGTTGAGGCCGGGGAAAAGCCCACCGCTGGCCAGAGCGCCACGGCGGGCTTTTCTGCTGCGCCACAAGTTCGAGGGCGACCAAGCCAGCGAGATGCTGAGGCGGCCGGCTGGCTCCGCCCTCCTGCGCACCTGGGACTGGGCAACCTGGGGGGGGGGGTGTGAATCTTTGCAACCCAGCGCCACATATGCTTAAGACAGCCCTGCTGGGAAGTCAAGCAACCTGCAGCCCACAAGCCTTGTTTCATGTAGCTCCCTGCCAGGGATTTTAATGTATTTATTTCTGAATAATATTGGTGATAGGGACACGGGTGGCGCTGTGGGTTAAACCACAGAGCCTAGGACTTGCCAATCAGAAGGTTGGCAGTTCGAATCCCTGCGACGGGGTGAGCTCCTGTTGCTCAGTCCCAGCTCCTGCCAACCTAGCAGTTCGAAAGCACATCAAAGTGCAAGTAGATAAATAGGTACCGCTCCAGTGGGAAGGTAAACGGCGTTTCCGTGCGCTGCTCTGGTTCGCCAGAAGCAGCTTAGTCATGCTGGCCACATGACCCGGAAGCTGTACACCGGCTCCCTCGGCCAATAAAGCGAGATGAGCGCCGCAACCCCAGAGTCGGCCACGACTGGACCTAATGGTCAGGGGTCCCTTTACCTTTAATATTGGTGATAACAATGTCACGCTGGGGTGGGGGGTGGGGACTTAAACACGTTGCAGGATTCCCAAACAAAATAGACCAGAGGCAATTGTATTTCATCCAGCAGAGCTTTACTGCTACTGAAGGCAAATGAGCATAATGGTCACAAATCCAATAGATTCAGGATTGGCCCTGTCCAAAAGAAATCCAGTTGCAGCTTAACTTAAAACTTACAAGAACTTATAATAAGACTAAACCGTAACACTACAGCATACAGAACACCACACCAAAACAAAGAGATAGAAAGAGAATGTAAGTAAAAACCAGTCTCCTTCTGGCCTATTATAGTCAGCATGACCTTGACAGAAAGAGATAACAGGACCAGTTCAAACCCGCTGTACTCAGCTTCTCAGAAGGAATAACCCAAACAAGAACCTTCTTTCACACAGAGAAGAAACCTTCCAGAACCCTCCTGAACTAAACAGAACAGGAAAGATCTCTACACATCAGATCAATATTTTCTGTACTAAGAAATGCAAACAGACAAATAATAATAATCTTATTATTAATATGCCGCCATCTGACCGCACTGCCCCAGCCACTCCGGACAAAATATTAAGCACAATCAAAAAGACAAATTGCCCTATATCCCTTTTTTAAAAAAGTTTAAAATTCTGTGGTATTTCATTCCACCTTTAACCTTTTATTTCTTAGCTAGGTTGGTCCTTTGCTGCCGTTCCCTCTTTCCTTTTTAGCCTGTTCCCCATCTCAGTTCCTTCTCCTTTCCCGATCTGCCAGGGCATACTACATCGTGGTCGTTCCCCTGAAGAAATCCAAAAGCGGCCAGTTTCAGAACATATACCACAGTCCGGAAGAGATGGACTTGGAGGAGGTGAGTGACAGCCGTCATTCATGTACCCTGCACCCCAGCCCTCTTGTGTACACTCGGGGTTGGCCCAGGACATTTCCCAGAATCCTCTTGGGTAGAACAAAGAATGGGGGGCAGTGGGATGATTTAGGGGGTGCAAAGAGGCAGGGGGGGGCGCTGGAGCAATAAACGACTACCAGACTTTGAAAAGCTGGTATCACTCCATCAAGTTCATCCGCTTTGTTGAATTCATTCAACTAGCTTTTGAATAAATGCGCAATTCAATGTTGCTGTTCTGGATTTTCTTTTACTGTTCTCCTTTTCAGTGGGTTCTGCAAACCGCTATTCTGAACAATGCTTTTTATAGGGTAGGGGGAACTGGGGGTGAGTTTATGGAACCGGGAGGGGGGGAGGAGTTTGGGAAGCACTTCTCTAAGACCTCAGCCAATGTCGGAGGAAGTCAACCCTGGATATTTAAAGAAGCCTACAAACTTGTGAGTCTGTCAGGAGAAAGAGTCTACAGCACCTCGGAACCTGCATGTTTCTAGCTGTGGGCACTCACAAGTTTCTAGACCTCATTGCCGCAGAGAGAAGATTTGAAAGTGGTGCATAGAGAAGTTTTAAGTAGCCCATGGATGGAGGGCTTGGGGCAGCTTGTTGTGGGGCAGGGAGGGGGAGCTTCTGCCCTCTGGGTGCTGCAGAACTACAACTCCCATCAGCCACAGCAGTTGCCAGGGATGATGGGAGTTGTAGTTCAGCAACAAGGCCCCAAAATGCCCCCCATACCTGGCTTAGAAGGAACTTCCATAGCGGTGTGGAGGCCCAACACATTTTCATATATAAAACCTCTTCCAGGGGCATATTTAGGCACAGCCTAATATTGGTCTCCAATTCTTCCAAAGAATCACAACGTTGGAAGGGACCCCTGAGGGTCATTTAGCTTAACCCCTTGCAATACAGGAATCTCAGAACGGGGTCCCCCTTTCAATTGGAAACCACACCGGGTCCTGCTTAGCTTTGCAAACGTGCTAGCAGTTTTACTGCCGCACTTCTAGGAAGGTCTGTGCCATTGTGCCCCTGAGGGATAGGTCAGCACGAGACTTTTAAATCTCAAGGTCATGGGTTCGAGCTTCATGCTGGGTGAAAGATTCCTGCATTGCATGGAGTCGCATGATCCTCAGGGTCCCTTCCAACTCTGTGAAGAAGGATTTATATCTGCGGAGGTGGGGGATACGTTGGTCTCAGTAGACCAGAGGTCCGCAACCTAAGGCCCATAGGCCAGAAGCGACCCATAAGGGTTGCTTAACTGGCCCATGAGCCACCCCCGAACCGAGCCACCCACTCGGCGGGTCCCCACACACTGCACTAAACCAGCGCGGCGCAGGGGCTCTCTTCCGTGGCTCCGGAAATCACTTCTGTGCATGCCCAGACCATAGCTGTCAACTGTCCCTTATTTGGCGAGACAGACCCTTATCCCAGCGCTGTGTCCCGCTGCTGTCCCTTATTGATGATGTCCCTTAAATTTCCCGGGTTTCAAAGGAAGCCGCTCCTCTCCCTCCCTCCCTGCTGGCCAGGGAGGAGGGAGGCTCCAACTGGGTTGCTTGGCTGCCCGGCCCGCCCCCCTCCGGCCTCCTCTCACCGGCCTCGGCCCCCAGGAGCCCCTCCCCGCCGGGACTGAGGAGCCTTGAGAGGAGAGCAAGGGCAGTCATAGAGAAAGCAGTTCAGAGAGAGGAGGAGGAGGCAGAGGCGGAGGCACGGGCAGGTGTTCCAAGGGCTAACCATAGAGGGGGAAAGCGGAGGAAGGACCGCAAGTTCTTCTCCCATAGATTTGTAGTGGTAGACTAGCATAGATGGTCTGATCTGCGGGTTTACTTCGGGCGCTATTCCCCCCCCTCTTCCTCCCACCCGGCCTGATGGAACTGAGAGCTGCAGATGGAGCACGAGAGAAAAGATACAGAAGTGCAGCAGCATCTTCATAGCTTGGACTTCGTTTTGCGCGAAAAGTGGTTGCTGCTTGTAGTTATTTAATTGCAGTGTTTCATCGGCTGGTGTCTTGAGCAGCAACCTCTGGAAACGAAGGGCTAAAAACCGGCGCTGCTCTCCCAAATTATCTAGTCCCTTTTTAACTTTGTATTTCAGCTTGTTGACTAAAATCCCTTATTTTGGCTGCTGACCCCTTATTTTCGAGGCTGCTGGTCCCTTATTTTCAAATCTGTAAGTTGACAGCTATGGCCCAGACGCCGAAAATCACTTCTGCACAGGCGCGATTTCCAGCGTCGTGGTGCGCCGGTCTGGCCCACGGAGGTTCTCAGTGGGTCTGGCCCATGCCCAGTAAGCCTTGCTGGCCTCTGCAGTAAACACTGCCCAGACCCTTATATTTCCTTCTGAGACCGTTCTCCCTGAGGGAGGCTGGGATAGTTTAATAAAGGAGAAGAGTAACCATACTTTTGTGCACCTGGAAGCTTTTGCCTTGCCTTCTTCTCAATCTCTGTGGTGCCTCACGTAGCTGATTTGAACCTCCTCCCTCGTGGTCCCCTTCCCCAGTTGATCCAGATCTCGCGGCTGCAACGCCGCAGCCTCCGCCACTCCCGCCAGCTGGACCTCCACAAGCCCTACATCGCAGCCCGCTTCAACACCCTGCCCTCCTACTTCATCCTCGGGGACTTGAAGCGCTACGAGGGCTTTGAGAACAAAGCCTTGGAACCCGGTCAGAAGTACGTCATTTTCGTCCTGGCTGTGCTGCGGGCCTCCGATCCGGTGAGTCCTCTCCTGCTTCTGAACTTTGCTTTGTGTGTAATGCTCTGTATTCTCTTGGCTCAGACAGATTGCATCCAATGTGATTTGGATCCCCGCAACAGAGTGAGATCCCGTTCCTCTGTTCCAGCTCCGGCCAACCTAGCAGTTCGAAAGCACGCCAGTGCAAGTAGATAAATAGGTACCACTGCGGCGGGAAGGTAAACGTCGATTCCATGTGTTCTGGTTTCCGTCACGGTGTCCCGTTGCGCCAGAAGCGGTTTAGTCCTGCTGGCCACATGACCCGTAAAAGTTGTCTCTCCTAGTTGCTCCTCTCCTAGTCTTGAAAACCCCACCAGTGCCAGATATAGGGTGGCGAGCCAAAGTGGGCAAATAATAATAATAATAATAATAATAATACAGTGGTGCCTCACAAGACGAAATTAATTCGTTCCGCGAGTTTTGTCGTCTTGCGTTTTTTTTCGTCTTGCGAAGCACGGTGTCGGGAAAGTTTTGGAAAAGCTTCAAAAATCACCAAAGTCTTCAAAAACCTCAAAAAAGGCTACCACACCGCGTTCTATGAGTTGCTCCTCGAAGTCAAGTCGCAACTGTATTAACGGTGTTAAGAAAAAGGAAACAAACTTGCAAGACGTTTCCGTCTTGCGAAGCAAGCCCATAGGGAAAATCGTCTTGCGAAGCGGCTCAAAAAACAAAAAACCCTTTCGTCTAGCGAGTTTTTTGTCTTGCGAGGCATTTGTCTTGCAAGGTACCACTGTAATAATAATACATAATAAATAATATTAAATTAAATCCCTATATTTATACAAGTACCAACTGAGAAGATTGTTTTACTGACATTACATATGTTTCTATATGATTTATGCTGCATTTGCAGCATAGTATGTCCTGTTCTGTTCTGTTACTACGGTGTATTGTTTGTAAGCTACTTTGGGATTCATTTGAATGAAAAGCAGCCTAGAACTACTAATAAATCAATCAATATCCATTAAGAAGGGGGGGAAAGCATGGAAAACCTTCGACCCACAATATAGATGCAACCCTTTCCAGCAAGTTTTTTTTTGCAGGCCCCTGCAGAACACCACCAGCATTAATTTAACACCACTGTTAATTTAACTGCAATTCTTACATTGCAGCCGGGGGCTGGACTAGAGGACCGCTGGGGTCCCCCTTCCAGCTGTTTGATTCTAAGCGACTCCACGTTTGCCATCGCCTGCGCGTTACTGATTCCCTTCCCTCGGCTCTCCTTGTTTTCTCTCCCTCAGTTATACGCCGCCAGCCCCTTTTCGGACCCGATCCAGATAGACAACCCGGACCCACAGCCAAAGATTGACGGCGAGGAGGGACTGATCTGGGTGATCGGACCGGTCTTGGCCGTGGTCTTCATCATCTGCATCGTCATCGCAATCCTCCTCTACAAAAAGTAAGTGGGTTTTGCGTGCACGTTTTGCGCTTCCAAAGCATGTGTGTGGACCCCCATGCTGCTGGCTGTGCGGTATAGTGGTTAGGGCAGTGGCTCTCAGAGTGGGCGATACTGCCCCCTGTGGGTCAGTGGGGTGATCTTGAGGGGGGCGTGCTGGGAGGCAGGGGGCACTCAACAACTCACAGTCTTCCAAAAGCTGGTGCCACTATATCCAGCCACCACTATGCGTTAGAAGTAGAATAATACCACTTAAAACAGGCATGTCCAAAGTCTGTTTCAGGGGCCTCATTCAATCCGCCGGTCGGTTTAATCCGGCCTCCATGGCAGTACCGTACTTTTCGCTCTATAAGACGCACCAGACCATAAGGCGCACCTAATTTTTGGAGGAGGAAAACAAGAAAAAAAATACCGTATTTTTTGCTCTATAAGACACACCAGACCACAAGACGCACCTAGTTTTTGGAGGAGGAAAACAAGAAAAAAAATATTCTGAATCTCAGAAGCCAGAACAGCAAGAGGGATCGCTGCGCAGTGAAAGCAGCAATCCCTCTTGCTGTTCTGGCTTCTGGGATAGCTGCGCAGCCTGCATTCGCTCCATAAGACACACACACATTTCCCATTACTTTTTAGAAGGGAAAAAGTGAGTCTTATAGAGCAAAAAATGCGGTACTCTGAATCCCAGAAGCTTGCTGTCCTGGCTTATGGGATAGCCACGCGCAGCCTCTCCTGGGCTGGGGGGCTGCGCGCGGCTATCCTATAAGCCAGGACAGCCAGCGGGATCGCAGCACAGCGATCCCGCTGGCTGTCCTGGCTTCTTGCTTGGCCGCGCGCAGGCTCTCCCAGACAAGGGGAGCCTTCATCCCCTGTCCGGGAGAGGCTGCGCACGACTAAGGCTCCCCCAAGAGCCGCGCTCCCTTTAAAGAGCGCACGTAGCGTGTGTGCAGATCTTGGGGGGTTTTCCCCGAGGAGGGAGAAGGGCATCCCCAAAGAGCCGCACACACGCTCCACGCGCCTCTTTAAAGGGAGCGCTGAGCAGAGCCTCCCTCCTGCAGTCGCTCCATAAGACGCTCCAACATTTCCCCTTACTTTTTAGGGGGGGAAAGGGGCGTCTTATAGAGCGAAAAATACAGTATATGTCTTGGGGTAAAATCCTAAAAAAAGCTCATGCATGTTCACTTTATCAAATCTGGCCCTCTTTGAAAAATGTTTGGGCACCCCTGATAAAACAATAATGGCTCCCCCCCTCGCCCCAATGAATCCTGGGAATTGTAGTTTGCTAAAGGAGCCAGGAGTTGTTGGGAGACAAACCCGCAGAGCTGCAATTCCCAGAGTTCCCTGGGGAAAGGGGTCGGCTGTTAAAGCGCTCTGACCTTTGAAGTGTTGGAGAGCCAGCCAAAATCTCTGGCAGAAGACTGCGAGGTTTGGACCTGGTGCAAGATGGCTCCTTCCTTCTGCTAGATTCGTGGGGATGATCTGCAAGCGATGCTCAGCACCCTTAGCAAACTACACCCCCCAGAATCCTTTGGGGGCGGCGGAAGCCATGGCCACTTTGTGATGGACTGTGACCTTTAATACGTTTAATACGGCATCTCACTCTGGTGCTTCTGGGGACACAGCGAAACAGGAATCAGCTCCCTTTGAATCTTCGCACGTGATTTAGCTGCGATTCGTACATGGCTGGGGGCTGGACTGGATAACTCTAGAAGTCCCTCCCAACCCTAGAGTCCTGAGTTCATCCATTTTATGGAGTTAAATAAACTAAGCCATTTTCATTGTACTTTTAACACAGTGTGTATTTAATCATGGACGTTTTGAAATCAATTGCATTACTGTCTTCCTTAGCGGTGGCATGCAAAACTTTGAATAATGCTTTTTTTTATAGGGTAGCAGGCACTGAGGGACGCGGGTGGCGCTGTGGGTTAAACCACAGAGCCTAGGACTTGCCGATCAGAAGGTCGGCAGTTCAAATCCCCGCGATGACGGGGTGAGCTCCCGTTGCTCGGTCCCTGCTCCTGCCAACCTAGCAGTTCGAAAGCACGTCAAAGTGCAAGTAGATAAATAGGTACCGCTCCGGCAGGAAGGTAAACGGCGTTTCCGTGCGCTGCTCTGGTTCGCCAGAAGCGGCTTAATCATGCTGGCCACACGACCCGGAAGCTGTACGTCGGCTCCCTTGGCCAGTAAAGCGAGATGAGCGCCACAACCCCAGAGTTGGTCCACGACTGGACCTAGTGGTCAGGGGTCCCTTTACCTTTACCTTAGCAGGGACTGGGGGTGAGTTTGTGGAATCAATGAGGCAGTGGCTCAAAAAGAGTTCAGGAACCGCTGAGTTAGAGTATTGGGCTAGGACCTGGAAGACCAGGTTTCGAATCCTGCCCACTGAGCCACATGCAGCTCACTGAGTGACTGTGGGGACCAGTCCACTTCTTTTCTCAGCCTGGCCCTACCTCACAGGGATGTGGTGAGGATAAAATGAAGGAACACAAAGGTTTTATGTACTTGCCACTCTCTGAGCTCCTTGGAGGAAACATGGGATATAAATCAAATCGGTGAATAAATAAATAAATGTGGAAGATTCCTTTCGCTTCCTACGGAAGTGTCAGGAGCCGCCATGACCAGAGACAATATGTTGCAAGGGGTCAACCACACACAATTTATTATTTATTATTTATACCCCGCCCATCTGGCTGAGTTTCCCCAGCCACTCTGGGTGGCTCCCAATCGAGTGTTAAAAACACGATAAAACATTAAAAACTTCCCTAAACAGGGATGCCTTCAGATGTCTTTTAAAAATAAGATAGCTGCTTATTTCCTCGACATCTGATGGGAGGGCGTTCCACAGGTGGGCACCACCACCGAGAAGGCCCTCTGCCTGGTTCCCTGTAACCTCACTTCTCGCAATGAGGGAACCGCCAGAAGGCCCTCGGTGCTGGATCTCAGCGTCCGGGCTGAACGATGGGGGATGGAGACGCTCCTTCAGGTATACAGGTATATATGACCCACTATTTTAAAGATTCCTACCATTCAGATGGTTGAGAGTCCTGGTGAAGGGGTGTGAAGGGCGACTCTTACTAACCTCATCTTTATCTTTCCCTCCTCCTCTCTCTCTCTCTTCTCTCTTTCTTTCTTTCTTTCTTTCTTTACTGCTTCCCTGGACAGCAAACCAGACAGGTAAGAGTTTTTAAAAGCTCCCAGTCTCTGATTCAGGTGGCAGTCAGCTGCACCTTAGGAACCAAAAGGCAACCAGTAAAACAAAGGTGGCAATTTAAGCTGCAGCTGAGCTACTGAAACATTGCTGTTCCTAAAAAGTGCCAGCAAGGTTTAGCCCTCGAGTAAAGAGTGGGGGAATGGGACGCGGGTGGCGCTGTGGGTTAAACCTCAGTGCCTAGGACTTGCCGATTGCATGGTCGGTGGTTCGAATCCCTGCGGCGGGGTGAGCTCCCGTCGTCCGGTCCCAGCTCCTGCCCACCTAGCAGTTCGAAAGCACTCTTAAGTGCAAGTAGATAAATAGGTACCGCTTTATAGTGGGAAGGTAAACGGCGTTTCCGTGTGCTGCGCTGGCCGGCTCGCCAGAGCAGCTTCGTCACGCTGGCCACGTGACCCGGAAGTGTCTCCGGACAGCGCTGGCCCCCGGCCTCTTAAGTGAGATGGGCGCACAACCCTAGAGTCGGGCACGACTGGCCCGTACGGGCAGGGGTACCTTTACCTTTAAAGAGTGGGGGACACCCCAAAGGGTGTTTGGACAGGTTGCAGTTGGAGAGGGCAGTTTTCTGGCAACACTCCTAGGCCCTTTAATTATTTGGGTTTGGGTTCACATATTTCTCCACTCGCACTAGAGCTCAGGGTTCTCCCATAACAGTTGATTTGCAGTTAGTTCAGGAGACCTCAAGGGGGGAGAACAAGCCATTTCTCAAGGCTTTAGACAATAAAGTTTGGGCTTTCCAGATGGCTGGCTATTGGATTGCTGGCTTCCAACAATAGATTTGGCGTTTTGTATGTTGACGCTGCTGTTTTCATCTTTGAAAAAACTGCAGCAAAAAAAAAACGATAGGTCCGGGTGGTGTTTGTCTTTATTTATTTGCATTGTTTATATCCCACTTTTCCAACCTTAATAGAACACGCAAGGGAAGCTCACAAGGCAATTAAAACCAGTACGCAAACAAACATCTAAATTCCAGATCATGCCGTTAAAAGATAATCACTGCTAAACAAAAGCCGGGGGGGGGATACATTTAGTGAAACAGAAAAGCCAAGAGTAAAGTTTGCCCGTAACAAGAAAAAGCCTTAGCTTGGAGGCAGAAAATCACCAAGGATGGGACAAAATGGATCTCATGAGGCAGGCAGTTCCACAGACTAGGTATTGCTTCCTAGGTGATGTTTTCCATTGTTCCCTCTCCATCCATGAAGGAAAAGCTTTCTGGCTGATCACGGAGGATAGGCAAGGAGGATGAGATGGTTTGGGCTCCGTTTAGGGGTTTGGGGGTAACAGCTTTGTGGCCCCCTGGCCTGATCCAGCAGCTTTTTCTTATGGCCTTAACCACAGAGCCTGGGGACTCCCAGATCACAAAGAGCCTTGTCTCCTCCTCGCCGTAGTTTTCATCCGCTTGGAGGAGACGCCTGTCCCAGCAACATCTTCAATGTCAAGCCTAGGTGAACTCTGCTGCGTTCTCCTTTTCTGAATAATAAAAAAAGGCGACTTCGCGTTGAGTCTCGAGTCTTCATTCTGACCTGTAGATTATCCTGCTTGTCTGACCTTCAGCAGCCATAACTTATCAAAGCCAAGCATGCTTCCGGTTTTAACGCTCGTTCCCTCGGCTGTTGGAAATGCATCTAGGTAGCAACAACTAGACTGTGGAACTGCCTGCCTCATGAGTTCACTTTGCCCTGCACAGATTTTGTCAGAATTAATTTGACACTGCTTTTGAGAGTCTGTTTGGGAAACATAATGTGCAGTCTTGTGCTGGTGGTGTTTTTCATTTTAGCGCAGCGTAAGCCAAGTTGAGGGACGCGGGTGTCGCTGTGGGTTAAACCACAGAGCCTAGGGCTTGCCGATCAGAAGGTCGGCGGTTCGAATCCCCGCAATGACGGGGTGAGCTCCCGTTGCTCGGTCCCTGCTCCTGCCAACCTAGCAGTTCGAAAGCACCGTCAAAGTGCAAGTAGATAAATAGGTACCACTCCAGCGGGAAGGTAAACGGCGTTTCCGTGCGCTGCTCTGGTTCGCCAGAAGCGGCTTAGTCATGCTGGCCACATGACCCGGAAGCTGCATGCCAGCTCCCTCGGCCAATAAAGCGAGATGAGCGCCGCAACCCCAGAGTCAGCCACGACTGGAACCTAATGGTCAGGGGTCCTTTACCTTTTAAGCCAAGTTGGGGGAGGGCAGCCATGACTTCCCCCCTCCACAGCTGTCAACTTTCCCCCTTTTTTTGCCGGAAATTCCCTTATTCCAGCACCGTTTCCCGCTGCTATCCCGGATTGTTAGATATCCCGTAGACTGTCCTCCGGACGGGTGAGGCTGCTGATCCCTTATTTTCAAATCTGAAAGTTGGCAGCTATGCCCCTCTCCCCGGCCCGAAAGTTGCTGGACTCTTGGGCTCCCATAATCCCTGACTGTTGTCTGCTATGACTCCTGGGAGCTGGAGCTTGGCAACATTTGGAGGGGCACCAGGGGGTCCCCAAAACTGACAAGAGGTGCAGCGCTGCACATGACTCCTTAAAGCCTTGTCTTTTATCTGCTCGCGCTCTCTCTCTCTCCTTCCTGCTCCTCAGCAAACGAAAAGACTCAGAGCCACGCATCAAATGTATGCTCAACAACGCAGAGATCACCCCTCACCACCCCAAGGATCCTGTGGAGATGCGGCGGATCAACTTCCAGACCCCAGGTAAACAGGCCGCACGCCACCAGCACCCCCGGAATCTCCCCCCGCCCCCTGAAACTTCACTCGAAGAGAAACCGGCCCGGCTTGGTTGCTGCCAGCCAGAGTGTGCGGCCAGGCTATACCTGCGGCCTTTGCAGCAGCTGCCGTCGCCAAGCAACATCTCAGGTAGGAGGAAGAAATGCCCAGATTGTGTGGGGCAGAGGCGGCAGCGGCAGGTTCGCCTGCTAGGGAGACCCCTGGCCACGGGCGGCAAATCGGAAATGACCTTTGGCAGGGCTGTTTGTGTCTGCGATATTTGACCATCGCCGAAAAGCTGCAGAATGAGATGGTGGCCACAGTATCTAGCTTCCTACTTTCTTTTCTTTTTCTCTCTCTTTTTTTAATTAAAAAAAAAAAGCAAGTTCCCAGTCCTCATTGTTCCTTAATGTATTATGGAATTGAACATGAGGAACGCAAGGGGGAAATCCCATACATTTCTCTGCCTGGTGCTCTGACTGAGTAAGGTCTGTAGGCTTTCCTGGTTTAAAACAATTACTGTTTTATCTGTGCCTTCTGCCAATATGTAAGCCCGCCTTTTGACTTCTAATGACTTGTTTTCTTTTCTGGTTTTTGTTTTGTTTTTTAAAAAACGAAGGTTTCTGGATTTAGGTAGGTAGGTTTAGGCAGCACTGCTCCGTGCAGAAGTGAACAAAAAAATTTGCAAAATTTAATTTATTACTTTCGCTTTTTAAAGGCGAGGCGCTAGTCCTCATGACCAGACAGAGAAGTCTGAAAGTGGGCAGGGAACGCTTGGCAGAACCTCAGGGCGCAAGGCCTGGATGGGAATCCTATAGTGCCCGGATGGGCTGTGGGTGCGATTTGATGTCTGCCCCCTTGATTTGCCTAGTGGAACTCAAAATTAGTGATGCCAAATTTGTGGGAGGTGGAGCACAATAAATTACGCAAAACAACACAAAAGTGGATTAGTGGAACCGCACTCAAGTTTTGCAAGGATTTATACTTCTGAATCCAACTTTCATTGGTGCGGGATTTTGATGATAATAATGAGAGCAGCTATTATTATTACTGCTACTGTTATTTGTTGTAACTGATGTTATTGGCACATTCTCAGCCCTGGCTCCACAGCAGGGGAACAAGGGGGGCTTAATTTCCAGGGCTCTTTGTCAGTTGCCGCTAGTTTATCAGCCTCTCTAGGCACACAAGATGTCTGTTGACGGAAAGACCTTTTTGTTGGCGGGGAGGCAGGGGGGGGGTCCAGATCCGGTCCATAATTTGCCCCCTTCCTTGGAGATTTTTAAGCAGAGGTTGGGTGTCCATCTGCCAGGGATGCTTTAGCTGAGATTCCTGCAATTGCAGGGTCTAGATCAGGCACCCCCAACCTTTGGCCCTCCAGATGTTTTGGACTACAGTTCCCATCATCCCTGACCATTGGTCCTGTTAGCTAGGGATCATGGGAGTTGTAGGCCAAAAACATCTGGAGGGCTGCAGGTTGGGGGTGTCTGGTCTAGGTTACCATTGGGTTCCCTTCCAGTTCTGCAATTCTGTGATTCCCATTGTCATCAGACAGATTAGCCAGCGCTCCAGGATGATGGGGTTTGTAGTCCAGATTTGGGAACCCAAAGTTGAAGGACACAAAAGCTGACTATAGAGTGAGATGGGCGCACAACCCTAGAGTCGGACATGACTGGCCCGTACGGGCAGGGGTACCTTTACCTTTATGTAGGTTTTTCAATTTCGTTGTTCTGTATGGGACAGTGACAATAAAGGTTATCGTATCGTAGAGTGTTTGTTGTGGGGGAGGAGGGGAAAGGAGATGGTTAGCCGCTTTGAGACTCCTTAAGGGGAGTGAAAGGCGGGATATCAAGTCCAAACTACTACTCCTCCTCCTCCTCCTCCTCCTCCTCCTCCTCCTCCTCCTCCTCTTCTTCTTCTCTCTTCCCCTTTTCAGCCTGCCTGCATGTTCCCCCTCTCTTTGGCCAAACCAAAGGACAGAAGCCCTTCTTCATTAATGCGGTGATAATTAATCTGTGGAAATCCCTCCTGCAGTAGGCAACTATGTCCCCCAACCTGGTTGGCTTTTATATTTGTTAAAAGCTGCCCAGAGTGGCTGGGGACTGCAAGTCAGATGGGCGGGGTATTATTATTATTATTATTATTATTATTATTATTATTATTATTATTATTATTTGTTGAGGAGAGGGCTCTGTCTCCATTGTGGCTTTCTGCACAATGAGCAAACTGCTGGTACCATGGATGAAAAAAGAGTTATTGCCACATCCGCTGGTGCTATTGGCAGGATCACTGGGGGAGAAGAAATCTGAGAGCAAGAGGAACCGATATCTCCCTCTCAAATGTTGGCGGGAGGGAGGGGATCCGGTCCTGTTCATCTTTTAAGGCAGCCCTTACTAACCCAAACTTTCCCAAAGAGTCGGAGAACCGGGAAAAGGTGGCCGTCCTTTGCCAATTCTCTCTCCCTCCGAATTTTGCACGGTAGTTCTTCACCCCAAAGTTATCAGGGCAAAGTGTGGTTTTTAAAAAAAAACGAAATGAAATGCATGCGTTGGAGAAAACGACAGTACAAAAGGGTGTGTCGCTTACGGGGAGGTTGCATTGCGAAGAGTGCGCGCGCGCTGGGCTAAAATGCACTGGAACGTTTGTGCGTTAGGATTTGATCTGCATTTAAACGCTGGTGGGTTTTTAATTGCGGTTTTCTTTTTGCAAACCAAAGCGGAGAGCTGGACTTAAGACAGGAGGAAATGGAGAAAGTAACAGATTTGCCCACGCCTAACTTTTTATGCAAAACTTAACATGTAATGAGACTTTGATGGTTGGGGGGGGGCGTTGCCTCCTCCAAATTTTCCTCAGTGTTTCCTTGAAATCAAGATATGCATTCGATCGTTTTTTTCCTTGCTCAGACGCTTATTTGGGTGGGTGGGGGAGGCGAAGGGGCTTAAGGTGGGATAAAATTCTGGATAAAACAAGGCAACCCTTTTGTTTTAAGTCCTGCCCCCCCTCCCCCCATGCACACACCCAAGAACGTGGCCAAAAAACAGACAAAGCCCAACCCTTTGTGAAAAGGAGAAAAAAGTGGGGGGGGGAGAGGGAGGGGAAAGAAGAAGAAAACACCTTTCATTTCCTCTCGGATTTTGTGTTGCTTTTTTCCGTTTTCTGTTTTCTTGGTTGAGTAGTGTTTTTTCCTTTTTTATAAAAGTCTATATATTTTGTTTTTTTTGTTTTTTGTTTTTTTGTTTTGTTTTTTTGTTTTCCTGTTTTCTGCAGATTCTGGGCTGAGCAGTCCCCTCAGTGACCCTGAGTTTGACCTTGAAAGTTAGTTCCTGTGTGTTTTCGTTCCTGTCCGTTTCATTGGTTGTGCTCCCCCCTCCTCTTCTTCTCAGCGCCACCCCCCCTCTCCCCACCCCCCAAATATATATATTTCGTTTTCCTTCTGTTGCACTTTCTTCCTTCCATCTTCATTCTCACACCCCTCCTTTCTCTCTGCATATCTGTGGCTTTTGCCATTGCGTCCCTCGTGCTTCTGCTTGTCTCATTTCCAAACCGTGCTTCCAGTTTTACAGTTCTCGAAACAAAAAGGCTTTTTGCAAAACGGTCGAAATTGCGACTGGACCGGTGCGTTGCGTTTCGCTGCAATCCTGCGCATAACCTTCGCAGAAGTCAGCCCCGTTGAGTTCAATGGGATTTACTCCTATAGGGCTGCAGCCGGTGGGTTGTATCCAACTTGAATTCTACTCAAGAGTAGACCCACCAGGTTGTATCCAGCGACAGACCCATTGAAATGAATTGTCTTTGGTCCATTAATCTCAGTGGGTACCACTAACTAAGCGTGTGGGCCTATGAAAGTCGCTTTCATTCGCTTCCTTGGTTTGCACCCAACTAAATCCTACTCTGAGTAAACCCACGTACGTTAATGGACACTGCTAACTTACGACTTGGTGCTGCAATCCTAACCTCACTTCCCTTGGGATTATGTTTTGCAATTGGGCATATTCATAAGCAGGCGGGGTTGCAGCCCTGCTCAGAGTAGATCCATTGCAGTTAAAGGTCTTGGCTAACTTGGGTTCAATGGGTTTACTCTTGAGCGGAACTCAGTTGGATGCAACCGTCCCACGTGTTTACCGGTATAGCAGTTTGCATTTATATATCACGATAGTTAATTTCCCCCATCTCCCCCATTTGTATGCCAGTTCAGAGAATTCAGGGCCACCTTCGAACAGCCAGCGCAGTCAGCTGTTTCCCAGGACTCGCTCCGAGGGTCTTTTGTGTGTGGAAGTGGCATGGAACAAGTTGGGGGGCAGCCCTCTGCCTGCATCTCCTCTTCGCCTAGGGAGGGCACATTAGGTTTCCTGTTAGGGACTGCAGCCCCCGGGCTGAGAAAATATTCCCCGCCCCCTGATGTATAGGAAATTCAGCGGTTCTCAACCTGTGGGTCGCCAGATGTTGTTGGACTACAACTCCCATCATCCCTGAGCTCTGGTCTCGCTGGCTAGGGGTGATGGGAGTTGTAGTCCAACAACATCTGGGGACCCGCAGGTCGAGAAGGGCTGTGCTAGGTGCTGCTTCCCATCTCAGAAGCAGAGACAACGTTCGTCAGCCCCCGGCATCCTGTTGTTTACCCCCCCCTCCCCCAGCGCCCTGGGCAAATTATGGTTCCCAGCCTTCTTTGTGGGCGGGGGGGGGGAGGCGCATATGCTTTAAATGTGGGAGTCTTTTAGGAAAGGAACCCTGAGCTGGCATTCCACGACTGTGGGAGCAAAAAAACAACCCACGGCCATTACCGCATTTTTTGCTCCATAGGGCACACCGGACAATAGGGCGCACCTAGTTAAAGTAAGCCCGAGTTTCCCCCGACCCCAGCCCCCAGAACAGGTCCGGGAGCGGTGGCAAGGTTGCGCACAGCCTTGCCGCCACTCCCAGAGCTTGCGGGGCTGGGGGCGCGCTTCAAAGATTTGCGGTTAGCTGCCTGAAGCCCAGGGAGCGCAGCGGGAGTTGGCGCTGCGCTCCCCAGGCTGCAGGCTGCTATCCGCAAGCTTTCGGAGCCCGGCGGGAACTCCCGCCGGGCTCCGAAGGCTTGCGGATAGCTGCCTGAAGCCCGGGGAGCGAGAGGGGTCGGTGCGCACCGACCCCTCTCGCTCTCCAGGCTTCAGCGAAAGCCTGCATTCGCTCCATAGGACGCACACACATTTCCCCTTCATTTTTGGAGGGGGGAAAGTGCGTCCTATAGAGCGAAAAATACGGCAACTCCTCAGCTGCAGAAGAATTTCCAGCGGACTGTAATCCTCTCCGGAGCCCATCGTTTTACTAAGCACCTCAGTTGTTTTTTTTGCTTTTTGTTTAAAGAAGCAAGCGGCCTCTTCTGTTGAGCTGCAATTACTTCAGCGGCAACAGGGGAGGCCTCTGGTCTAGGCAGCAGATGTTGGGCCGATTTTGTCCGTCAAATGATCCGGCTCGTAGAAAGAGTGAAAGCAGGGGGGGTGGAGAGAGAGAGGAGCTTGAATTCTTTGCAATAACAAGATTAAGGAGATTTCAAGGGATTTGAAACGCTAGATGAGAACTCTCTCCCCTAAGATCTCTCTCTTTCAAAGCCAGAAAATATGGCCTCGGTCAACAGCTTGATTTCCCGGAAAGCTGCTTTGACTTTGAGCAAAATGTGGGGTTTGGGGGGGGGACGGGGGGGCGGAGAGGGAAGGGAGGGGCGGCCTCTCTCTCCCATGCACCAAAATGCAGAAAGCAGTACGAGAAGCAGATAGGTGGTTAAAGCCATATTCCCGCAATCATAGAATCATAGAGTTGGAATAGACCACAAGGGCCATCGAGTCCAACCCCCTGCCAAGCAGGAAACACCATCAGAGCACTCCTGACATATGGTTGTCAAGCCTCTGCTTAAAGACCTCCAAAGAAGGAGACTCCACCACACTCCTTGGCAGCAAATTCCACTGTCGAACAGCTCTTACTGTCAGGAAGTTCTTCCTAATGTTTAGGTGGAATCTTCTTTCTTGTAGTTTGGATCCATTGCTCCGTGTCTGCTTCTCTGGAGCAGCAGAAAACAACCTTTCTCCCTCCTCTATATGACATCCTTTTATATATTTGAACATGGCTATCATATCACCCCTTAACCTCCTCTTCATAGCAACCCTTGGGGGTAGGGGCCGGTACCGGAATCCAAAGGAGGAATTGCAGCGGTTTGGGGGGGTAAGAATGCTTCCCCCGCACTCCCCAAGTTGGCAAGGGGAGCCTGAGGAAACGGGGTGTTTCTGAAACTCTCGTGAACAGGGAGAATCGTAGGATTGTAGCGTTGGAAGGGACCCAGGGGTCATCTAGTCCAACCCCCTGCAATGCAGGAATTTCTGCTAGATCGCCCAGGGCTGGTGGCCATCCAAGCTCTGCTTAAAAACCTCCAAGGAAGAAGAGTCCATCACCATCCGAGGGAAGTCCGTTCTACTCTTGAATGGCTCTTAAGCATCAGAATATTCTCCCTAATGTTGAGTCAGAATTTCCTTTCTCATAATTAAATCCATTGATTCGGGTCCTAGCCTCCAGAACAGGAGATAACAAGCTGGCTCCATCTTCCATGGGATAGTCCTTCAGATATTTGAAGCTGGCTATCCGTATCTCCTCTCAGTCTCCTCTTTTCCAGGCTAAACATACCCAGCTCCTTCAACCGTTCCTCATCAGGCTTGGTTTCCAGACCTTTAATCATCTTGGTCGCCCTCCTCTGCACACCTTCCAGCTTGTCAATAACCATCTTAAATTGTGCTGCCCAGAACTGGACACAGTGTTCCAGTTGTGGTCTGACCAAGGCACAATAGAGAGGGAATATTACTTCCCTTGATCTGGACACTAAACTTGAAAATATACCCACCTCACGCTTTGCACAGGATTGCAGCAGTCAGCCTTCTCTGAGCTGGGCAAATCCTGTTGCATCTCCACATTAGGAGTACAAGTTAACTCATCTGCAGGGAGCCCGAAGAGAAAGAGGTATGCTCAGGGTAATGAATCATTCAGAGATACAGTGGGCACCCTCCTCTGTGGATGAGTACTTTTGACTCACAGAGGCCTTCTGTTACTTAACTTGCTCCTTTCCCATGAGAAGTAAACACAATTTGTTTTTGGGGGGGGTGGGTTTACTGGCCTCTTTCATAGGTGTCCGCTTAAATCCCCAGGAATTTCAAGTACAGTGGTACCTCTGAATGTGAACGGGATCTGTTCTGGAGCCCCGTTTGCATCCTGAAGTGAACGCAATCTGCGAGTCTGCGCGGGTCGTGATTCGCCACTTCCGCGCATGTCTGTGACATCACTTTGAGCATCTGCGCATGCGCGAGCGGCGAAACCCGGAAGTAACGTGTTCTGTTACTTCCGGGTCGCTGCGGAGCGCAACCCGAAAAGGCTTAACCTGAAGCGACTTCAGCCGGAGGTATGACTGTACTTTTTTTATTCCTTGGTAGTTTTTTTTCGCAGTCCACTTGCAAAAGATGACTGAGCCCCATCGAGCTCAGGGAAACTTGCACCCGAGTAATCACACAACATGCTTCACTGCTACTGATCTCACTGGATAGCTAAAGCTGCAGTCCAGCCCATTGAACTGAATGTCTGAACTTACGAGTAGACACTGTAGGTTAGGCCCCATCTGTTTACCTGTTCCAGATCCAGGGTTGAAGAAGGAGAATAGTTGGGTGAGAGGTTTCAGGAAGGAGTCTGCATAGCCGTTTTGGGGGACATTTATGAAGTCCAAAGGTCTGGATAAAAACTAATCGAAGCAGGAAATGTATTACCTAGCTAAGCTGCCCTTTCAGGTCTACAGAGGTATCTGCTAGGTTTGGGTCGTTGACAACTGCTATTCTCCTGTGTTTTCTGGCTCCCAGGTTTGCCTTTTGCACCTCTAAAGGTGGGAGAGGGGAGCTGAGAGACCCTCTTTCTCAATTTCCACCCCTTCCACCTGTTACAGTCTTTCGTCCTTGCCGGGTTTGGTGACTAAGAAAGCCAGCTTTTTGCAAAAGCACACTGTAAAACTGGTGAATACAGCACTAGCTTTCGCCACCTTTGTCCCCCGAGTTCTCAGGTTATTTTATCGCTATGCTGCCGCTGCTGCTTAATGCTGTTTTTAACCATGCAACCCCCAATAGGGCTCGAAATTCTCCATGGCTCCCCATCATCTCCCCCCACCTCTCCCTTTCCCCTTCCCAAGTCACAGCGGTGGTTTCTCAGAAGGAGGAATGAACTTCCCATGGTTCCCAACTCGCTTCCCATGGTCCCCGACTCGCTTCCCATGGTTCCCAACTCACTTCCCATGACCACCCACTGACTCCCCATGGCTCTCAACGCCTTTGGAACTTGACAGGCAGAGCTGATGATCCATTGTACACACACACACACACACACAACCCCCAAATATTTTTTGTCCCATCTAGGCAACCGTCAGAGAGTGCCTTCTTAGGGTACATGCCTACACTGCACATTTTAAACCGGTTTAACTGCCATAGGTTCTCTCTGAGAACTCCCAAGAATTTGCGGGCTTTGCTGAGATCGGCACCTATCTCTTTTGCAAACTGCAATTCCCCGGAAAGGCATCTGTGGCCGTGAAACCATAAGGCGTCTAAGTGCAGTGCGAGGGGGAGCTGGTTTTTTTGAGTGCTTCCCTTTATTAAGCAAAAGTTTGTTCCTGCCGAAGGTTATCATGGTTAGGGAGAAAGGGATGGGACGCCTTGGGACCTGATGTGCTAGCTTACTTCCTGCAAGGAGATTTTTTTACATAAGGCGAACATTTAGAACCAAAACACACAGCTCATCTGCAACTGTCAGTTGTAGTAGAGTCCAGAAATCTGCCCCCCCCCCTTTTCGGAATAAAGTGTAGAATTGCTCTAAGATGACAGTTCTATTTGTCCTTTCTTGGAAGTAAGTCCTGCTGAAGTCACCACTGAGTAAGCATGCATGAAATTGGGCTGTAACTGATTTATGCCACGGCGTTTTCTAGGCAGTAACCTACTTCTCTGGATCTATGCATTGTCATAAGACGGTTCCACAATGAATCAGCTTAATTAATGTGAACGTTTCCTTAGCGGCGCTGATTCTGCGCCCTCACATTCCTTCCACAAATTCAAGCAGTGTGGAATCTTTAAAAATAATGTAATAAGATACTATTTTCACACACACACCGCTTTTTCTATTTCTCCTTGCAATTCCAGACGTCATTCTCATGCACCAACTCCCTTCCAGCCTTCTTAATCATATTGAAATTCTGTTTGCCGGGGCTGGTTTAACACACACACACAAAAAAAAACACGCTAGCTGCAGATTTCAGAGAGAAGGGGAAATCCTGTGGATCTCATACCTAAACAGCTACCAGAACTGGAAAGGGGTACAAGGGGGTTTGGGGGACAGCTGCCCAATTTCAAAAGGAGGAATGAGTTCTGTCCGTGGCGCCTTTGCCCAACAACCTCAGACATGGGGTGACAGGCTGAAGTCTTTCAGGTTAAGCAAAGGCATTCTGAACACTGGCATTTGTCAAGCAAGATGAGTGTTGGAAGATTTCTGACAGATAAAAGGAAGGACTTTTTCATGCAGCACACAGGTTAAACTGAGGAACTTCCTGCTGCAGGAGGCAGAAATGGTCACCTTTTTAAAAGCAGTGGCTTTAAAAGAGAGTTAGACTTATTCAGAGATGGGAGGGCTGTTGCTGAACTGATGGCTCGGCTTTGCCCCCCAGTTTTCCTGGGGAGAAGGATCCAAAACTGCTGCTATTTTTAAAAAACTGCGGCAGAATTAGAGATCTGGGAATAGTTTCATGGGACAGATCCTGCCCTCCTTTCGAGGGGAACAGCACCAAACCACCAAGGGGGTTTCCTTCCTCCAGATTTGCAAATGACAAAGAGAAGATCTGCAGTCTCTTTAACAAACACCCTCTCCAATAAAGAGGCCTGACTTTTTTTTATTAAAAAATCCTATGCGAGGAAGAAGTGGCAAACATTTCCAAAATTCTGTAGAAGTGGCCTGTAGCCAACTTACGTCCTGTTCAGAATAGACCCATTGAAATTAATGGGTATCAGTCACATCCATTAATTCCAGTGGGTTTGCTCTGAGTAGGACTTAACATTGGGTTCAACCTAGTGATCTTTTCCATAAACATCGTTTTTTTGGAAGTGGAGAAATCTACCACCCCACCCCACCCAGTGCAGTGGAACGTTTTTCCCCATCCCCATGTGATAAGATTTCAAATAACTATATCCTGCATTTTATAGCATTGTTCTCAGGAAACCTCTGATATTAGCTGGGGCGGCAGCTTTCACAAGACCAATTTATTATCCCCAAATGGTGGAGAGAAAGGAGCCTCTTAGTGACTCAGAAATGGGCTCTTCCAGGAAGATGAATGAATGTTAGGTGTGATTAGGGGAGGGTGCTGTGAACCCCCTCTGCCTCAAAGGCAAGTTCTGAACATTTAAATGACACCCGATCCTCCTTAGTGTGCATTGTGGTGCAATGCACTACTATGGCATTCTTCCTGCAGAAGCTCCCCCCCTTCCAGACCCCTTACGGGAAGGTCCACAGCTCACCTGCTTGGCATGCAGAAGGCCCCCAATTCAGTTCCCAAGTAGGGCTGGGAGAGACCCCTGGAGATTCAGCGCTGAACAGCATGGGCAATACTGAGCTCAGTGACTCACTGCAAGATAGTTTCTCTCTATAGAATATTTGCACGAGTCTGTCGTCAGGCTGCCGGAAACCATGCAGAGCTGCTGCCTGCCGGTACAGACCAGGTGTTGCCCAAGTGGTGCCCCCACCCAGATGCTGTCAGGGATGCTGGGAGTTGTAGTCAAAGCAACTACCTCCTGGGGGGGGGCACCACTTTTGCTGCCTGCTGCAGCTGCTTCCTTTATCTTCACAGCAAGACAAAGCCACACCGGCCTCTTACCTTCTGGGAAACCTCTGCTTAACCTCCTCCATTTCCAGCACCACCCCAGGCGCATCACACCCTCCTCATTTCACTGGCCAACTCAACCATACCCCCCCCCTTTGAAACCTCTGTGCGGTGTGTCTTGTTTTTATCTGGGTTTCTATATATATATTAGTATTATTTATCATTGCAACGACCCCCTTTGCCCTTGACACATCGTTTGTTTGCTGTGTTGGCACTGGCGTGCTGCCGACTTTGTTTTGCTTTTTTGGAGGGGGGGCAGTTCCCTCGCTCCCTTCCACCCGACACCACCCTCCCTTCGCGACGTCACCATTTGGAATCGCTGCGAAGTGCCTGCTATCAGAATCTTTTTTTCTCTTCTGTTCTCGTTTGCTCCTTTTGTTAGTTCGTCTCTCTTTACAAAAACGAAGGGGGGAAGAAATCCCCCCTCCCCTCCCTTCCGATTTATCGATAAATGTCGAGAACGGGGCCATCACGGGGAAAGAACTCTCTTCATTTCCCTCTCCAGTTTCCAAGGACACAATTTCGAGCCCTCACAGTTTCTCTCTCCCCCCCACCCCACCCCACCCCCCCGCACTCCTTTCTAACCCTCCTTTCATTGCAGTTTTTTGTTTTCGGAAATAAAAATTAAAAACTCTGAATTGTATGTTTGTTACGGAACGGTGTATGGTTTTTTTTAAAAATTGAAGGCCACTTTTCCCTCCCACTTCTCCCCCCCCCACCTGTCTCTCCCCCCGCCCAGGTATGCTGAGCCACCCACCCATCCCCATTTCGGAGCTGGCAGACCACACGGAGCACCTCAAGGCCAACGACAACCTGAAGCTCTCTCAGGAGTACGAGGTACAAAGGAGCATTAAGGGTTGGCAGCGGATTGGGGGGGCGCATCACAGGTGGGGTGGAGGATGGGGCTATGTGTTATGGGGGACGTGGCCTAAAATTGCAGCCCTCTGCTCCGTAACGGCAAGCCCAAGAACTGGGGGTGTTTGTGGTCTTCTGCATGTTTCTTAAACGCTTAGCTCTGGAGCATCCAGAACAACTCTGCGTTCTTCCTATGCCTCTTCCCTGGGCTGGCCCCAGCAGCCCATCCTCAGGCACCGATTCGCCTCCGTCCTCTTGGATTGGCTCCGATCAGATCAAAGGGCGAGCCTCTTAGTGGCTGAAAAGCCCCACCTTCGTGCTGATTGGGCAGCTCTAGTAAGACGCTGTGTCAGGAGCAGGTCAGCAATAAAGAAAAACCACTTGTGTCAGTGAAGTTAGCTCTTCATTCAAAAAAAAACCCCAAAACAGTGCATGCCTAGTGAGCACAGCAAGTCTTCCCAGGAGGTTCAAATCCCCGCGATGGAGCAAGCTCCCATTGCTCTGTCCCAACTCCTGCCAACCTAGCAGTTCAAAAGCACGCCAGCGCAAGTAGATAAATAGGTACCACTGCAGCGGGAAGGTAAACGGCGTTTCCATGCGCTGCTCTGGTTTCCGTCACAGTTTACTGTTGTGCCAGAAGCAGTTTAGACCTGCTGGCCACATGACCTGGAAAGCTGTCTGTGGACAAACGCCGGCTCCCTCAGCCTGAAACAAGATGAGTGCCACAACCTCCTAGTCACCTTTGACCGGACTTAACCGTCCAGGGGTCCTTTCCCTTTCTTCCCAGTAGGTCTTGTCCCAGTGAGTCCCAGGAGGTCTTGTCCCAGTGAGCAGCCGAAGGCTCTGTCTCTCTTTGCTCCACCCTCTTCATACCTCTTCTGGTCCTGGGAGACCACGAGGAGGGGAGACTCCTATGCTTCTTCACCAGCCTGCCTCATCTCTGCCTCTTGGTCCCCCTCCTCACCTGCCTCTGAGTCTGGGCTGCCCTCTGCCACAGACTCTTCCCGCTCGCTAAGCCCTGTCGCCTTTTCAGCTTCGTTTAATATACAATCGTAGCTTGGAAGTCGAACGGAATCCGTTCTGGAAGTCTGTTCGACATCCAGAACGTTCGCAAACCAAAGCAGGGCTTCGGAGTCCTGCAGCCAATCGGAAGCCACGTCGGACGTTCGGCTTCCAAAAGAACGTTCGCAAACCGGAACACTCACTTCCGGGTTTGCGACATTTGGGAGCCGATTTGTTCAACAAGTAAGGCGTTTGACTACCAAGGTACCACTGTGTGATAGACTGATAGATATAGATAGATAGATATAGATAGAGATAGATGATAGATAGATAGATAGATAGATAGATAGATAGATAGATAGATAGATGATAGATAGATAGATAGATGATAGATAGATAGATAGATAGATAGATAGATAGATAGATAGATAGATGATAGATATAGATTAGATAGATAGATAGATAGATGATAGATAGATGATGATAGATAGATAGATAGATAGATAGATAGATAGATAGATAGATGATAGATATAGATACTTGTCCAAAGATATACAAAAGTTCATAAAGATAAAGGACCCCTGACAGTTAAGGCCAGTCGCAGACGACTCTGGGGTTGCAGCGCTCATCTCGCTTTACAGGCCGAGGGATCCGGCGTTTGTCCGCAGTTTTTCCGGGTCATGTGGCCAGCATGACTAAGCCGCTTTCTGGTGCAACAGAACACCAAAACCAGAGCAGCGCATGGAAACGCCGTTTACCTTTCCGCCAGAGCGGTACCTATTTATCTACTTGCGCTGGCGTGCTTTCGAACTGCTAGCTTGGCAGGAGCTGGAACTGAGCAACGGGAGCTCACCCCATCGCGGGGATTCGAACCGCCGACCTTCTGATCGGCAAGCCCAAGAGGCTCAGTGGTTTAGACCACAGTCCCTTTTACAAAAGTTCATACCCAGTACAAAATAACTTTTTATAATACACCGAAGTAAAAGAAATGCTTAATCTAAGAAGGAACAGGGGCAGAGAGAAGATGGAGGAATGCTTCCAACATCTCCTCCCACCCTAGACTTCTCCCTCTGACCTCTCATCATTGTCCTGCCACCAATCCCCTGGGTTGGTGGTCCTCCAGATTCTGCCTTCTCTGCATCCAGCCACGGGAAGCAGGGACCGTGCTGTAGGAATAGTAACAGGTCTTCGCCGCTTCCCTGATCCCAGGCAGCTACACCACTCCGTGCATCTGCCCACAGCAGCTTCTGTGTAGGGGGTGAGAAAAGTCAGCCAAACCGAGGATTTGCAAAGGGGGGGGGGTCTTGGGATAAGAGGGGCTGAGAATTGGACCTAATGGCACCAGGAAGGGCACCAAGATGAGTAATGGCAGAAGCCCCCCCGCAGGTTGGCAGAGGAGGAGGCAGGTGCTTGGATACATTCGCCAACAACTAAAAAATGCTAGGAACCAAAAGTCTTTTGGCCGCAGACTCCGAGCTGTTGTTGTTGTTTTGCACAGCGTATGATTTGCTAATTGCTGGGAAGATGATGGGAAGAGATCCTCAGCGCTCTGCTGGGGTCTTTCCTAACCCACCTCAGCACCCGGGCAAGGCAAGCGAGCGTAGAGAAGCCTAATGTGCTCGCTCTCTCTCTCTGCCAATTCTCCCCTCCCATTGCCCACCCCCCTGCCAGCAGATAATCTGCATAATGTAATATTGGCCCTTTTCCAGGGCAGCCTTCCTCCTGAGCTGCGGATCTGGAGATACTTTTACAAAAAACCACAGCACACCTAATGAAAGAAATGCGGAGGTGCAAAATTGGAGAGGGAGTGTGGTTGCGGAGGCAGGTTGGAGCTGCTCAGAAGATAAGGAGATTCTTGCTAGAGAGCAGGTCAATGGCCCATTTAGTACAGAGTCCTATTTGTTGCATATATATTGCACCTTCTCCTCAAAGGAGCTCAAGGTAGCATGCGCAGTCTTCTTTTTCCGCTCCTCATTCAGTCCCCTGCGCGACAACCCCCCTGCAAGGTGGGTTAGGCTCAGGGCCGCCTTACCCATAGGCGCTAGGGGTGCGGGGCACCCGGGCGCCAGGCCGAGAATCCGGGGCTCAAGAGTTGGAGTCTTGGGAAGAGCCCAACCGTCCGTCGGAGCGTCCTGGCGGGCTCTTCTGCTGCAGGCGGCTCTGCACCGCGAGTTCAAGGGAGAACAAGCCAGCAAGGTGCTGAGGCAGCCGGCCGGCTCTGCCCTGCGTGCCTGGGATTGGCGTAGGGCCGTGGAGAAATCCGCCCAGCGCACGCTGCTCACACCGCGAGGGACCCAGCTGTTTTGTTCTGCAGGGCTCCTTACATTTCCTGTTTTCTTTTCCCAAGCAGCAGAGATAATCGCGGTGTCAGCTCCCTAAAAAAAGGTTGACAACTCTAGGGAACCTTTCAACAACTTTGCTTAAGACGGCCCTGGTTAGGCAACAACTGCCCCCCCCCCCCGGCCGCACCCAGTGAGGTCCCCAGTGACGAGGGGAGCGTCTGTTAGCGTAGCTTCCAGCTCGTGGGACTACAGCAGGAACGGAGGTGGCTTTTGCCTGGTATTATTATTCCGCCTTCCTTCCGAAGAAAGAAAAAAAGGAGCACGTCAAAGGAGATTTGTGCAAATGTTTTCCCCTACCTTTGGGGGCAGATTGTGGCGGCAGGTGATTGGCAATTGATGGGAAGGAGAAGAGGTTGTTGTGGCCCTGCTCACTCGCCAGACACCGTTCCCCAGACACCATTCTGATATATTTATATATTCCATTTACACCCCACCTTTTCCTCCAAGATCAAGGCGGTGTACATGGGTGCCCCCCTGCTCAATTGATCCCCACAACAACCACCACCACCACCACCCTGCAGAGTTGGGTTAGGCTGAGGGAGGCAGCAACTAGCACCCAGCGAGCTTTTTCCGTGGCCAAGGTGGGCAGGATTTGAACCCAGGTCTCTCCTAGGGCCTAGTCATTGGAGACTCTAACCACTGCACCACACCGGCTCTGAGTTGGTTGCGCCTGTGAATTTTTTCAGGTCGTGGTCCCTGGAAGGAAGAGAAGTCGACTGCTTTTTAGCTTCCACTCTTATAGTTTGGAACAAAACGTGGACTTTTCGCTGACGTTCCTCTCTTTCTGCCCCTGCAGTCCATTGACCCGGGTCAGCAGTTCACTTGGGAACACTCCAACCTCGAGGTGAACAAGCCGAAAAACCGCTACGCCAATGTGATCGCCTACGACCATTCCCGCGTCATTTTGCTGCCCATTGAAGGTACGAGCCACTTTGTCGCAAGGGGAGGAGGGGCTGAGGTCAGATTTTTCAAGCTTTTGTCAGCTCGTTTTTGGCATCTCTGACATTTTAAAAGCCCCCCAAGGGGGGAGAGTCCAGCACCTTCCGAAGGAGTCCGTTCCACAGTTTTTGACAGCTCTTACCGGCACAAAACGACATCACATGATTGACAGTTGAGCGGGGCCGCCCACCTGTCGGAATCCCTCGCTTTGCAAGTTGCCGTGCGCTCCCCTTTTGAGCCCCCCACTCTTGGGGGAGTGCGGGGAGACTTGCAAAGGGCTCTGTGAGTCTCCTCCCACCCCTTTTCCCTTTAAGTCCTTGATCCCAGAAGCTTCAAGGTAATTTGCTCGTCAACTCTGACCTACCTTACAGGGCTGTTCTCGGGATTGCAACCGGGCAGTGCGCACTTAGCTCCTCGCGTGCTTGAAAGCAGCACCTAATTGATCAGGAAATTACTTCACCTCCCAGAAAAAGAAATGGAGAATTTGCAGGTCTTCCAAGGTGCTGCTGGGATTCTAAGTCCCAGTGGCTCCAGGGGCAAGCATGACTAATGGTTAGGTATGGTGGCCTTTGAGAATTCAGCAACATCTGCGGAGAAGGGAGCACAGAGTCTGCCTTCCCTGCACAGTCTGTGTGTTTTGTCGGCCCAAAAGCCTCTAGCCCTTTTTGTTTCCAGTGCTTCCCAGCTGAGATTCCAGCATTGCTGGGAGTCGACCTTTCAATCGGGGCCTTTCAATCATGACAGCTCATCTCGTCGTGAAACCGTCCTGGGCTTCACATCTGCAGAGAGGGGGGGGGGGAAGGAGAGAGAAAAGGTGTTTGCTTGCACCTCTCCAGTCTCCCACCCGAAATCCCACCAAACGCTCACGGGCTTTTGCACCACCCAGCTCCCTTGCTCCCTATCCTTGCTCCTCGCCCAGGTAAATGAAAATACCTGCCTCCGTCGCCTCTCTGAGGGCAGGGAAGCAGTTGGCCGAGGGTTAAAGCATCAGGCCACCACTGACCCCATACAGGAGCCAGGAAAGGGGATTAGCTTTCCTCCCACCTCTGAAAGCTCCTGTACCAAGTTAAAACCTCGCAAAGAACCTTAAACCAGAGCCATCGGCTTTCTTGTAAGCAGGTCGCGGCAGATTCCCCGGACACCAAAGGGCGATGTTACTTCTCCGCCGCCACCGATAATTTCTTTGAACTGTATATGTGTATATAAATGGGGGGCCCTGCAGCGGCAGGAGAAGGCGCCACAGCCGCAATCGCCACCTGGTTTGTGATTAGAGCCTCCGCGCTCCCTTCCAGCGAGGATCCCTGCCTTCTGCTAAGTTGGGAAGCGAAGCTCTGACCTGGCATACTTTTAAATTAAAAGGAGCGCTTGGAAGAGAACACCCACACATAACAGGCCTGCGTAATTAAAAGGGGGTCACAGTTGCTAATTTCAAAGCCGCGCTTAATTCCCTGCTTCCATCTGTGGCCCCGATAGGAATTGCAGCGAGGGTTCCCCTTCTCTCTCTCTCTCCTCTTGCCACTGCCGCAACACTTAAGCCGTTTCTCACGAAAGCAAAGGAAGGAATTCAGGCTTATGAAGGCGTTCAAACGGATGCAGTCCAGAGTTCCCAAACGACAGCTCCCGTCAGCCACAGCAAACATGGTCCCTTTGGCCAGTACCGATGGGAGGAGTCGTTCAGCAAAATTATGAGGACCAAAATCCTCCTGTGCGCACACCTGCGCAAAGCCAGGGATGAAGAACCTATGGCTAGTCCTGCCCAAGTACGGAACCAGACACTTGTCCCTTTTGAAATTCATTTTGTTAGTCATGGCCCACTTGTTACTTTTGGCCCAGCTCCCCAGTCTGTTAAGGGACGCGAGTGGCGCTGTGGGTTAAACCACAGAGCCCAGGACTTGCCGATCAGAAGGTCGGCGGTTCGAATCCCCGCGACGGGGTGAGCTCCCGTTGCTCAGTCCCTGCTCCTGCCAACCAAGCAGTTTGAAAGCAGAAAGTGCAAGTAGATAAATAGGTACCACTCCGGTGGAAAGGTAAACGGCGTTTCCGTGCGCTGCTCTGGTTCACCAGAAGCGGCTTAGTCCTGCTGGCCACATGACCCGGAAGCTGTACGCCGGCTCCCTCGGCCAATAAAGCGAGATGAGCTCTGCAACCCCAGAGTCGGCCACGACTGGACCTAATGGTCAGGGGTCCCTTTACCTTTACCACAGTCTGTTAACGTCATCTTGAATTCTTTCTTCTGCTGCTCCTCCCAGTTTGGGGTCACCTGCAAATTTGAAGGCCATCCCCTCAATTCCTTCATCCAAGTCGTTTATAATAAGTTGTTGAACCCCCCTGTAGTTCTGTGTCCTGCTCCAGGCGCCGCAGTTTAATATGATTATTGACAAGCTGAAACATGTGCGAAAGACGGCGAACCAAGCCGTATGAGGAACGGTTGAGGAAGCTGGGTATGTTTAGCCTGGATAATAGGAGACTGAGAGGAGATAGGAGAGCCATCTTCAGATTTCTGAAGGGCTGTTGTCACTTGGAGGATGGAACAAGCTTGTTTTCTGCTGCTCCAGAATCTGGGACCTGAACCAGCGGCTTCAGATTGCAAGAAAGGAATACTTTCTGACAGTAAGAGCTATTCGGCATTGAAGCGGCGAGCTCTCCTTCCTCAGAGATTTTTAAGCAGAGACTGGACGGCCCTCTGTCCTGGGTGTTTTAGCTGAGATGCCTGCATTGTAGGGGGTGGACTAGATGAACCCAGTCGTGTGCACTGCCACCGCCCCGATTGCCCAGGGTCCCTGGAGGACAGGATTTGCTCATCGCAGCTGTTTGGTTTCTGACTGTTTTGATGCAGGAATCGTGGGCAGCGACTACATTAACGCCAACTACATCGACGGCTACCGTAAGCAAAATGCGTACATCGCTACGCAGGGGCCCCTTCCGGAGACTTTTGGGGACTTCTGGAGGATGGTGTGGGAGCAGCGCTCAGCCACGGTGGTGATGATGACCAAGCTGGAGGAGAAGTCGCGGGTGAGGAAAACGCACACGCCTTTTCGGTGGGGAAGGGGCAACTGCTTGGGCTGTGGCATATAATAATAATAATAATAATAATTATTATTATTATTATTATTATTATTATTATTATTATTATTATTATTTATTGTTTATACCCCGCCCATCTGGCTGGGCTTCCCCAGCCACTCTGGGTGGCTTCCAACAAAATATTAAAATACTGTAATACATCACACATTAAAAGCTTCCCTAAACAGGGCTGCCTTCAGATGTCTTCTAAAAGTCTGGTAGTTGTTCTTCTCTTTGACTTCTGCTGGGAGGGCGTTCCACAGGGTGGGTGCCACCACCGAGAAGGCCCTCTGCCTGGTTCCCTGTAACTTGGCTTCTCGCAGGGAGGGAACCGCCAGAAGGCCCTCGGAGCTGGACCTCAGCGTCTGGGCAGAACGATGGGGGTGGAGACGCTCCTTCAGGTCTACTGGACCGAGGCCGTTTAGGGCTTTCAAGGTCAGCACCAACACACTGTTTTCCTCCAAAGGACCTCAAGGTGTGGTGTAAACGGTCCTTCTCCCCCTCCTCTTTTAATCCCTCCAACTACCCTGCGATGTAGGCCACCCAAAATCACCCAGGGAGCTGTCATGACTGAGTGGAGGATTTGAACCCTGATTTCCCAGAGAGTTCTTGCCCCTGAGGGAGGTAGGATGACCTGGGGGGGCACTAAGAGGCAGGGGGAGAGGCAGGGGGTTGTTGGAGGTATAAACTTTGAAAAGCTGGTACCCCCCTGGATCAGGTTTGTCAATGTCCTTTAATTAAGCTCACATTTTAATTGGATTTTGAGTAAATGCACGACTGTTTCAAGCTGTATTGTGTTATTATCTTTCTGGGTATGTCATGCAAACCGCTATTCTGAATAATGATTTGTATAGGGTGGGGGGCACGGGGGGGGTGAGCTTATGAAACCAAGGGGGCAGGTGGCCCGAAAAAGGGTTTCAAACCAGTGATCTAATTGATTAGGAGCAGTTCCATCAGCTTAAAAGGTGATCACGATAAACTAGATAGCAGATCTTGATTTTTAAGTTTATTTCTAAAAGCAAGTACTTTTTTAAAAGAAAACTAAAAAGCTGCCAATGGCCCCCCCCTTACAAAAAAGACAGGTGTGGAATCTTTCTTAACAGGTGTGGAATCTGGAGCAAAAACCTCGGAATCTGGTTCTGGGTTTCAGCTTCCTTGAAAACCCCTCACGGGTTTAGTTCAAGTTTCTAGACCTTATGGCCTTGAAAATTTGAGGGGCTATGCATACAGAGGCTGGCTGAATGAGAATTCCCCACGTGGATGGCTCAGTGCTCAGATTTGCTCGTGCGAGAAAGAGAGTCGCGTTCCAACCAATTCGCAGCGCCTAGTTTTGCATTTATTTACTGCATTTGAAACCTACCTTGTTCTTGTTCTGTGCTTCTAATGAGCTCAAGGAGGCAATTTAATCCCCACAAATTCCTCGTTTAATCCTCACAACAACCCTGCCATGTAGGTTAGGCAGAGAAAAAGGCAGTGCCGGGTCCTGAAAGTTCATCCAATCAGCTTCATGGCTGAATGGTGATTCGAACCCAGGTCCTAGTCCGACACTCAGTAACCACTATGCTGACCACACGGATGCACGGACAGATTTGAGATGGTGCTACCACTTTCCAAAGAGCCACTGTTGTTGTTTAGTCGCTTAGTCGTGTCCGACTCTTTGTGACCCCCTGGACCAGAGCACGCCAGGCACTCCTGTCTTCCACTGCCTCCCGCAGTTTGGTCAAACTCATGTTGGTAGCTTTGAGAACACTGTCCAACCATCTCGTCCTCTTCCGTCCCCTTCTCCTTATGCCCTCCATCTTTCCCAACATCAGGGTCTTTTCCAGGGAGTCTTCTCTTCTCCTGAGGTGGCCAAAGGATTGGAGCCTCAGCTTCACGATCTGTCCTTCCAGTGAGCACTCAGGGCTGATTTCCTTCAGAATGGATAGGTTTGATCTTATTGCAGTCCATGGGACTCTCAAGAGTCTCCTCCAGCACCATAATTCAAAAGCATCACTTCTTTGGCGATCAGCCTTCTTTATGGTCCAGCTCTCACTTCCATACATCACTACTGGGAAAACCATAGCTTTAACTATACGGACCTTTGTTGGCAAGGTGATGTCTCTACTTTTTAAGATGCTGCCTAGGTTTGTCATTGCTTTTCTCCCAAGAAGCAGGCGTCTTTTAATTTCGTGACTGCTGTCACCATCTGCAGTGATCATGGAAGCCAAGAAAGTAAAGTCTCTCACTGCCTCCATTTCTTCCCCTTCTGTTTGCCAGGAGGTGATGGGACCAGTGGCCATGATCTTCGTTTTTTTGATGTTGAGCTTAGGTCTTAGCAGTGAGTCCGTAAGTGACTGTGGAGGCCAAGGTTGGATCTACACACATATTTAAAAAACGTTCTGAAAACGCTATTTTAAAAGCCTTTTTAAAAATACGTTTGTACCATGGTTGATTCGAACGTTTTGGCTCCCGTACGCCGTGAGTGTTCCGGTTTGCAAACTATTTTTGGAGGCCAAATGTCCAGTGGGGCTTCTGCGACTTCCGATTGGCTGCAGGAGCTTCCTGCGGCCAATCAGAAGCTGCGCTTTGGTTTCCGAACATTTTGGAAGCCAAATGGACTTCCTGAATGGATTCCATTCGACTTCCATGGTACCACTGCACATTGAATTTTCCATACGGCTCATCATCGCCATCTAGTGTCACACGTTGTATATTGCACTTAAAACACACTTAAAGTGTTTTATTTGCAGCTGAGTCCCAATCCTGGATCCACATAGGTTTGTGGGCAGGAGTTTGCCAAACATTTGGGACTCAGGTGTTTCTCCCAGCCCTGCCTAGAGATGCTGAGGATTAAACCGAGACCTTCTGCATGCCCAGCACATGTTCTTAACTCCTGAGCTGAGTTGTCACGCTGGAGCCAGAGAGAAATGGCGCACTGTTTTCTCTTGAAACAATGCAGCTCTCTTGCTAACCTCTCTCTCTCGCTCCCTCGCTGGCTGTTCTGATGATGTTGTTTTTCTTCCTGTCGGCTTATCACAATTTTTCTCCGCCACGAAGCTGCAGCGATGCAAGGCCCCCCGCAATTCGTACTGCGTGAGCTCTGGCGATGGAGCCTCTGCTGCGATTCCTCCTAGCAGCCGCCTGTTTCCCACTGTGTAATTTCTTTGAACTCATTTCAAAAGATTATTACGTTTTGGGATGCGCGCACACACCGTCGCCAGTTGTACAGAAAGTGTCTGATTGGAAACGGTTTCCTGTTGTTCGTGTGTGTGGCTGTTTAAGCGCACACAGAAACATACAGGGCGACCTGCCCTTGCTACAAAAAGGAGCTTGGGATGGCTGGCGTACATAAAGAGATGGAGGGAACTCAATTCGCTTCGCATTTAAATGCGAATTTGCCCAGGTCACGCTTTTCGAAACGATGTGCGGGCCTAACAAATGATTTGAAATTTGCACTTCTCCAAATGTTGCCACGCAGTTCTTCGTGTGCAAAAATGGAAAGCGAAACAAACAAACAAAAAACCAATGCCCTGATGTCAAGCGTGCAAGAAAATGCAGATAACAGTCAAAACTTTATTGCATTAGGGGAAATGGCATCTCAAAAAATGTGCATGTGTTTATGTTAGAAGGCTGGTGGAGAGCCAGTGTGGTGTAGTGGTTAAGAGCGGTAGTCTCGTAATCTGGGGAACCGGGTTCGCTTCCCCGCTCCTCCACATGCAGCTGCTGGGTGACCTTGGGCCAGTCACACTTCTCTGAAGTCTCTCAGCCCCACTCACCTCACAGAGTGTTTGTTGTGGGGGAGGAAGGGAAAGGAGAATGTGAGCCGCTTTGAGACTCCTTAAAGGGAGTGAAAGGCAGGATATCAAATCCAAACTCCTCTTCTTCTTCTTCATGCGGACTTTTTAAGGGAGGGCCAAAATCTGAGCCAAGTGGAAGAGAAGGAGCCTTGCAGGCTGCCCCTTGCCCCTGAGAAGGAGGGAGAGTGGGAGGGAAAAGCAATACAGTTAAATTAAAATCTTTTATTCATCCTCCACAGGCAGGGCCAGCTTGGCTGCAGAGGAAACGCCAGCCAGCTGGGGGCTTGAAAGAACCCAAATCAAATTTGCTCAAGTCTACAGCCATCGCTCAGCTCTCAAAAATCTCGCTTTCCTGCTTACAGGATTCAAACTCAATTTCGTTCCTTTGCATTTCCCCCCAGCCTAACAGAGACGTGTTGTGTTTTTCCCTCCCTCTCCCCGTTCTCCACCCCCAGGACGGCCAGTCGCGGACCGTGCGCCAGTTCCAGTTCACGGACTGGCCAGAGCAAGGCGTGCCAAAGTCCGGCGAAGGCTTCATTGATTTCATCGGGCAGGTGCATAAAACCAAGGAGCAGTTTGGCCAAGACGGGCCCATTTCCGTCCACTGCAGGTAAGCCCCTTCGCAGGCAGCACTTGAGGAGCCAGGAGCAATCCTGGAACCAGCAACACAAACTCTGGGGAAGGAAATAATCCAGCTCAAAGCCGCCGTTTGCACATTCTCCCCCTGCTTAATTTGCACCTTGGAATGGAAAGAGGGCTGCTCAGCCATCCTTTGATGCTAAGCTTAAGCCTCTGTGGATGGGCTGTCTCCTGATTGGATGGGAAGCTGGAGTTTCCTGCCTCCCTAAATCCTTGGCATTAGCACAGGACTTAGCCCCAAAATGCAGACTTTTTATTGTGTATCCTTTTTCTCCCTTCCTTCCTCTTAATTTGAGGGTGGCGGCGGTTATTCAAGGCCAGCTTCTAATTGTGCCAGGTGGTTTCTGAACTTTTTTGGGGGGCCACCACCCACTAGGTCCCGCAGACTCATCCCCAATGTCCCCCTCGCTACCCCTATGAAAAGCATTATTCGGAATAGCAGTTTGCAAGGAAGCCGCAGGGGAAAGTAATAGCACAGTGAACTCCCAAACTGTAACAATTAATTGCATGTTTATTCAAAATCCAGTTTGAACTAATTAGTTTAACGCATTCAGCAAAACTGATGGGTTTTGGTGCAGTCTGATGGTCATATATAAAAAACCCCTCTCAATTGAATGTTGAACAATTCAGAACAGATAAAGTCTTCCTTCCCACAGCACATACACTAGTGGCCAGAATTGTGGAACCTTTTGGGAAAAGTGCATTTCCGACGTTTGATGGCACATAACACCTGATTGGCTCTCTAAACACCCATGCTCACTGGCTGCATTCAAATGAACAAAAACTGCATATCAACCTAAGCAAGTTGTGCTTCCTTTTCTCTGGTCATTTGGCTATAACTTTTGATAGAACACAGATAATTGAACAAACTTTGTTGCGTTACATTCTTCATTAAATCATCTTTTCCATTGATAAATACTTTTATGGTGTCACATCCCCCCCCCCCGAAGAAAGGGGAGTTATGAGCCATCAAACCTCAGATGTTTTGAGGAGTATATGGGAAAGGTAAAGGTACCCCTGCCCGTACGGGCCAGTCTTGACAGACTCTAGGGTTGTGTGCCCATCTCACTCAAGAGGCCGGGGGCCAGCGCTGTCCGGAGACACTTCCAGGTCACGTGGCCAGCGTGACATCGCTGCTCTGGCGAGCCAGCGCAGCACACGGAAACGCCGTTTACCTTCCCGCCAGTAAGCGGTCCCTATTTATCTACTTGCACCCGGGGGTGCTTTCGAACTGCTAGGTTGGCAGGCGCTGGGACCGAGCAGCGGGAGCGCACCCCGCCGCGGGGATTCGAACTGCCGACCTTTCGATTGGCAAGCCCTAGGCGCTGAGGCTTTTACCCACAGCGTCACCCGCGTCCCTTAGTATATGGGAAAACACTGCTCTAAAAAGAATATGTTGATATGCATGGATTAAGTATGTAAAGTACAAGCGAGAACAATAATTAAAAATGGCTGTAGGAGACGTGTTATCCAAAGAATGCAATGATAGTATTTAAATTTGAGCTAAAGGAAGTCGAGTCATGGTGGAGGGAAGTCTTCTGTCTTTTTTCTGGAAGGTACAGCTAGTGGGCCTTCCTTCTCATATTTATTTATCTCATAAAAGTTATATACCACTCGATTTTAGGGGACGATGACTCTCAAACCAGTTTGCAAAGACAAAAAACAAAAAAGATAAAACAATAAAACGGTCACTTTAAAAATTGCAGCCATGATTTAGAAAGTAAAGGCCACAGTAAAGTAAAGGTAAAGGGACCCCTGACCGTTAGGTCCAGTCGTGGCCGACTCTGGGGTTGCGGCGCTCATCTCGCTTTATTGGCCGAGGGAGCCGGCGTACAGCTTCCGGGTCATGTGGCCAGCATGACTAAGCCGCTTCTGGCGAACCAGAGCAGCGCACGGAAACGCCGTTTACCTTCCCGCCAGAGCAGTACCTATTTATCTACTTGCTCTTTGACGTGCTTTTGAACTGCTAGGTTGGCAGGAGCTGGCACCGAGCAACAGGAAGCTCACCCCGTCACGGAGATTCGAACCGCCAGCCTTCTGATCGGCAAGTCCTATGCTCTGTGGTTTAACCCACAGCGCCACCTGTGTCCCAAAAGCCACTGTAGGCTAGAGTAAAACTCATGCAAGCTTTCCGAAGGTTTGTCTAGATAAAAAGGTTGCCATCCTGAGCTGTCAGGATGAACACCTAAACTTGGGCCGGGAGCAAATCAGTAGCCGGTGCAGATCCCGCAATCGGGGTGTTATACACTGCTGGTAATTCGCCCCCAGAAGCAGTCTAACCGCCATGTTCTGCACTGGCTGCAGGCTCCAGACCAGCCCCACATAGAGTGCATTGCAGTGATTCAACCGATGCCCCCAAGAGGCCCCCTAAACAGCAGCGACTGATGGCCACAACTTTCCCATCTACTCTGCCTTAACGGCCGGATGCCGCTGGCTTTATTACAGACTCCAGGGTGGGATTGGTGTCTCAAAACATGCGATGACCAAACAAAGGAATAGCTCTCCCTAAGTGTGGCAAACAGAGACCCCTTTTCTTCCCCCCCCCACCGCCCGCCCTGTCCAATTTATGCCCACGGAAGCACCGGTCCTCCTCTGAATTATTATTTTGCTCCCCGCCCCGCCAAACTCCTTCAAGAGCACCAAATCCCCTGGGCAGTGGCTTGTTGTTAATCTGCGATTAAAGCCTTAGTTGATTAATCGCGCCACTGGAGAGATTAAAGGCTCCCCGTCCAAGCCCTCTGCTTGCTGGCTTTCAGACTTAGCATCGCAGTTGCTAAGTCGTCGTGCGGAATATATATTGTCTGTGTGAGCCAGCACCTTCCTCCCTCTCCACCCCCCCCCCAGCCCCGTTCTCCCGCTCGCCTCTCGAGCTGCACCTCAAGGAAGCGAGCGAGACCAGCCAAGCGACTAGGAGGACGGCAAAGTTGACAAGCTATTCACTCTCAAGCGCCGACTTGGTCCTGAGAGAGAAGTCTGTGTCAGTCGTCTCGGGTGCGGAGAGAGACATGTGCGGCAGAAATTCACCAGCTTGTCAGTTTCGTCTCTTGCAATCCGGTTTTTGGTTTTTTATTTTTGCACAGGCAACAGTGGTAATAGCTTTTTCCTTTTTTGGCGTTGTTAGGATTCGCGTTTGTTTGGTTTTAAACATACACACAGCTCCTGCTATCCAAATGTTGGTTATGCGAAGATTCACTTATTCAAACATGAGTCTGTGTAGCGTGCCCAAGCCTCGCTCTACACACCAAAAGGTTCAAATATCTAAACAGGCAGATCTGCATGTAGAGCTGTAAGGAAATAAACAGCCTTAAACAAGACTTGCTTGTTTGCTTTTTTCTGGTGCGCAGCAGCCGTTTTGCCAGAAACCACAGAGGGAAGGAGGGAAAAGAGACTAAACAAATCCGACAGCATTTCCCCCCAACTTCCTTGTTGGTTTTTGAATGTCTGGTGTAGATTTTCAATTTCATTGTTCTGTACGGGATAGTGACAATAAAGATTATCGTATCGTATCGACAATAAAGATTATCATATCGTATCGTACTTGTCCAACTGTTGTCCAATCTCTCATGATGATATCCAAATATAACTAATGTATCTGTGAAATCTCATTCATTCATTCAACTTACCGTATTTTTCGCCCTATAGGACGCACTTTTTCCCCTCCAAAAATGAAGGGGAAATCTGGGTGCGTCCTATGGTGCGAATGCAGGCTTTCGCTGAAGCTTGGAGAGCGAGAGGGGTCGGTGCGCACCGACCCCTCTCGCTCTCCACGCTTCAGGAAGCTATCCGCAAGCCTTGCGCGCCCCTGTGGGAGTTCCCGCAGGGCTGCCTAGGCTGCGGACAGCAGCCTGCTTCCCGGAGCGTCGGGCGCCCTGAAAGCAGAGCGCCTGGCACTTCGGGAACACATCCGCAGCCTAGGCAGCCCTGCGGGAGGTCCTGCAGGGCTGTCTAGGCTGCGAATAGCAGCCTGCCGCCCGCGGGTGGGCGGGGCACCCTGAAGCAGAGCGCCCCGCGTGCCGGGCAGACATCCGCAGCATGGGGAGCCCTGCAGGAGTTCCCCGCAGGGCTCCCCAAGCTGCGGATAGCAGCCTGCCACCCGGCGGGCGGGGCGCCCTGAAGCAGAGTGCCCCTCGAGCTGGTCAGACATCGGCCAGCCCCACAAGCTCAGGGGACAGCAGGGAGGCGCAGCGCCGCCATCCCGCTGTTCCTCGACCTGGTTCGGTTTCCCCGACCTGCTTTTGGGGGGGAAATAAAGGGGAATTTTTTTTCCTTTATTTCCCCCCAAAAAAACTAGGTGCGTCCTATGGGACGGAGCGTCCTATGGGACGAAAAATACGGTAAATGACTTCGGAGGCTGGTAGATCGCTGCCAGTTTTTGATATTGATTGTAGATCACACCCTATTCAAAGTCGGACGTGCCTGCTTTAAAATTTGGGGGGTCAGGAGGGAGCTGGTTTGGGGGGGGGGACACAGACTCCCGTTTCTTCCCAGGGAGGTTTACGAGCATCGCGTCCTAAGCGCGGGGTCCCTTCCAATTCCACAATGTTTCCCTTTCTCCTCTTTGCAGCGCCGGCGTGGGCAGGACCGGCGTCTTCATCACCCTCAGCATCGTCCTGGAGAGAATGCGCTACGAGGGCGTGGTGGACATCTTCCAGACGGTGAAGATGCTTCGGACGCAGAGGCCTGCCATGGTGCAGACAGAGGTAAACAAAGAGAAAGGGTGTGTTTTCCCCCCTGCCGGCTGGACTCAGGGAGCAGGACTCCTCTGCCTGGCCGCAGGGGCGAGAGGCAGCCTTCCTGCCACCTCTGGAGCGGCAGAGTTTGGGCAGGGATTCCCTTCAGCAGCTGTGCAGTGGCAACAGGAAGGAAGGCTGTGCGGCAGAGTGGCCAAAGCCGGCAGCCTCCTTCGCAGCCGACTGCTCTTCCTGCTCCGAAGTAGTAAGGGATGATGCAGTTGGGTTAGTGGTTAGAGCAGTGTTTCTCATTTTGGGTCTCCAGCTGTGTTTGGACTACAGTTCCCATCATCCCTGACCACTGGTCCTGAGAGCTAGGGATGATGGGAGTTGTAGTCCAAAAACAGCTGGAGACCCAAGTTTGAGAAACACCGATGAAGCTCGCTGGGTGACCTGGGGCCAGTCGGCCTGAGCTACCTCGCATGGTTGTTGTGGATTAAATGAGGTGGGGGACAGCCACGTATATGCTGTCGCGTATTCCACGCGGCGTTTTCAGCAAAGCATTAAGAGTTCCAGGTTTTTCAGTGCAGTCCTTTTTAATGTGAGCTATATACAGGTATTTACAAAAGAAACAGTCCATACAGAGTACTTACAAACGAATACTCTCCACGACAGCACCACCACACTACAGCACAACCACCACACTACTGTTAAACAGGCTTTCCTTTTTAAAACAGGTGATAGCCAATTACACTAATCACACTCCTGCTGAGTCACTCTGACCCAGCAGAGTATTGCATCATCCTGTTGAAGCCTGCAGACTTATCCAGTATCCTGCGAATCCCAACACTCCTCCTTAAGTCAAAGGCTTGAGACCCAATAATTCTCTTAAGTCTCGAAATTTAGGAGCATCCAAACATTTTGTATACAAATCTGCCACATTACATTTTGTGTTACAGTGCTGTACCTTTAACACATTTCTTTCCAAAGCATTTTTCACATTTCCGTATCTTATCGCAATATGTTTACTTTTGCTTTTAAAGTTCTGTTGGTTGGCAAGCTGCTGTGCAGCCATGTTGTCACTTAGCACAGTGATTGGCATTTCAGAAGGTATTCCAAGCTCTTTTGTTAGGCAAGCAAACCACTCTATTTGTGATACACATTCGCTTATGGCTGAGTACTCTGCTTCACAAGTACTTGTGGCAACAAATGTTTGTTTCTGGGATTTCCACTGAACCAGGGCATTTCCAATATATATGGCATAGCCAGTGGTAGACTTTCCATTCTCTCTGTCTCCCCAGCTGGCATCAGCGTATGCATACACTTGCTGATCATGTCCTGTATCCAGCACCAGTTTGTAATCTTTTGTGCCTTTCAGATACCTTAGGATTCTTTTAAGTGCTACCCAATCTCTCTGAGCCGGGTCTGCACTTCTTTGGCTTAACATGTGCACTGCCAATGTTATGTCGGGTCTTGTCCAACAACTTAAATATAACAGCGAACCCAACAGAGAATGAAACGCTGTTGCATTCTCACATTTTTGCCCTTCTGGTTCATTTTTGTACTGGGTAGTTATGGGAGTGTCAACCTCATTTGCCCTCTCCATTCCATATGTCTTCAGTAACTTTTCGATTTTTTCCTTCTGACTCAGAGAGTAAACGCCCTCTTCATTTCTCTGAACCTCTACTCCTAAGTAATTTTGAATCTCTCCCAAATACTTCAGTTTGTATTTGTTACCTAGGCTGTTTATAAACCAAGACACTTGCTTTTGTGCAGTTGTTATTAGACAGATATCATCAACATACAAAAGTAAATAACAAACACTTCCTTGCACCATTGCTGAATATAAACAGGAATCAGCCAGGCTTTGTTTGAATCCCATCTTTTTCAAAGTTGTGTCTATGCATTCATGCCATAGACGTGCACTTTGGTGTAAACCGTATAGTGCCCTTTGCAGTTTTAACACCATGCTGTCTTTTTCCAGCTCATAACCTGGTATTTGCTGTAAATACACCTCGGCGTCAATAGGAGCATTTAAATATGCTGAGGCAACATCAAAATGATTAACTTTTAACCCTCTCAGACTTGCCATTGCTAAAACTGATTTTACTGTTTCAGCCTTTGCTGTTGGGGCAAACACTTCATCATAATGTATCATTTTCCTCTGTGTAAAGCCCCGTGCAACCAACCTGGCTTTCCTCTGACAACTACCATCAGCCAGCTTTTTCACTTTAAAAACCCACTTACAGCTTATGGGCTTTTTACCTTTAGGCAATTCTGTAGGTACAAACACATTGTTGTTTAGCAGAGAGTTATACTCTGCCTGCATTGCCTTTAACCACGCCTCTTTCTCTAGAGTAGGTAACTCTTGCACTTCTTCAAAGTTTTCTGGCTCAGTTACACAAACCTGGTTTATGGTGGCTGGGAACCCATAACGGTCTGGAGGTTGACCTTTATTACTTCTTGCAGACCTCCTTGGTTCATTAATCTCACCCCCTGGGCTACCTTCAGGACTGCTTTTGGGGTGGATTGACTCTGGAGATCTACCTCCTCCTGTCTCTGTTGCACTTTCTTCTTTCCCCTGCTCCATGCTAGCAGTTGGAGAAAAATGCTCAACCTTTACTTCCTCCCTTTCAGTTTCTCTGGGAGAGCTGCCAGTTCTTAGCTTTGTTTCAGCTGCCTTATCAGGTATGCTCGGCAGTAAAACTTTTTCTGGCAGCAGGTTTGCATGTATCTTGGGCCAATTTCTTTGCTCATTAAAGCTGGCTGATCGGCTATAACTCAAAAGGTTTTTATCATCTTCAAACCTGTAGGCTTTCGTACCACTTTCATACCCAAGAAATAGCAACTGCTGTGCCCTTTTCCCACCTTTTCTTCGGTTTTTCACAGGTATGTCAACCCATGCCTTTGTCCCAAAGATTCTTAAATGTTGCAAACTGGGACTTTTGTTATAGAGAATTTTATAGGGTATGTCATCTAGTACCCTTGACCACAAGCGATTCCCAATATAATTCGCGGTCTTAATACTTTCAGCCCAGTACTTAATTGGAAGATTTGCATCTGCTAACAATGCTTTCATTTGTGTCTGCAAGACACCTCCCCTACGCTCTGCTACTCCGTTCTCCTGAGGCGTGGCCACATTGGTAAGCCTATGTTTAATCCCTTGGGAACGCAACCAGTTTCTTAGGGAGCTTGCCATAAACTCCCCTCCCCTGTCTGATTGAATAGAGGACACCTTTTCACCAAGTTGCCTTTCTACCCTTCTTACCCAGAACTTCAAAGTTTGGGCAACGTCAGACTTTTGCTTTAATGGATAGACCCAGCCAAATCTAGAAAAATCATCCACTAGGATCAAACAGTACTTGTTGTGGGAGACACTAGGTGGAAAAGGACCAGTTACATCAGCATGGATCAACTCCAGTGGTTTTTTGGTTTCTCTCTGGCTTGCTCTTGCTACTGGGCAAGCCCTGCTTTTAACCTCCTTGCAGATATTGCAGTCTAAGTAATTATCACAACTTTTTATGTTCTTCATCCCCCCACACAACTCCAATGTTTTGTTTAGCACCTTATAGCTAGCATGAGCCAGACGCCTGTGCAGGAGATGAATACACATATCATGGGTCGGGACATTTTGCACATTCGCAACCTTAGATTCACACTGCAGTACATACATATTAGTTCTAAGGCTAGCATTTGCCAACACTGCCCCATTTTGCTTTATCTGGCACTGGTCTCCCACAAAATTTACTTCAAAGCCTGCTTTTGCCAAATCAGGAATGCTCAGGAGATTGTTTTGCAAACTAGGCACACACAATACATTCCTGAATGTGTGTCCCAGCTGTGGGAACACAACCTCCCCCTCACAAACCACATTAGCTTTCTGGCCTGTAGCAAGACTTACATGTTTTTTGTTTGAAGCCCTAGCATCAGTTAGCAATCCTTTTCTTTTACAAAAGGTTTGAGAAGCTCCACTGTCCAGAACCCACAGCTCCTCATTTTCTTGACCATCTGCAGACACCCAAGCGGTAGACTCTCTCTGCTGCCTCCTGTGCTTCCGCTGTTTTTGTTGTTTTCTCGGGCAGTCCCGCAGCAGATGTCCACTGGACTTGCAGCAAAAACACCTTTTTACTTTGTTGACCACCGGCTGGTCTGCAGCAGCTCCTCCTGGCTGTTTCTCCGGCTCCCGACACCTCTGCTCTTCCCGGCTGTTGTTCCCTCTGGGATGCTCCAACAGCTGGGCTGAGGTCATCTTTCGCTCTGCACGCCTGTCCTCCTCTGCATACAACCGTCCGGTCACGTATTCCAGAGTCAGTTTATCAGTCTCTACAGACTCTAGGGAGTTGACCAGCATATCATAGCTGTCATCAAGGGAACTCAGGACTATAAAGACTTTGTCCTCTTCCCCCACAGGCCTCCCTCTTAAGGCTAGCTCCTGGAAACAGCCTGTTAGGAATTTTAGGTGGTTTACCAGGGAGTCCCCCGGTTTCTTCCGACACCGGTACAGTCTCCTGGTCAGTGTTATCAGTGAGCCAGCTGTCTCTCGCACATGGACAGCCTTGAGCGCATTCCACGCCTCACTTGCCGTCACCTTATCAGCTACGTAGACTAGCTGGCTGTCGTCCACTCCAAGGATGATCGTAGCCAAAGCTTTCTCATCCTTTTCAAGCTGGGCCTCTGCTAGTGCCAGCTTTTCATCGTCGTCCTCATCCCATTCAGGGGGCTGCGGTGTGGTTTCCACCACTTTCCACAGGCCCTCACGCTTGAGGAAGTGTTGCATGCGGACCGACCAAATGCTGTAGTTCGTGGCCGTCAGCTTCTCCAGCAACACGCCAGTTCTGGACTGCTCCATCCCTGCAGCTCACCTCCAGCACCCACGGCTAGATAACTGCCACCTGTACTCTTGCGCAGCGGAAGCGTGCTGGGCCCATAACCCTGTCGCGTATTCCACGCGGCGTTTTCAGCAAAGCATTAAGAGTTCCAGGTTTTTCAGTGCAGTCCTTTTTAATGTGAGCTATATACAGGTATTTACAAAAGAAACAGTCCATACAGAGTACTTACAAACGAATACTCTCCACGACAGCACCACCACACTACAGCACAACCACCACACACCCTGTTAAACAGGCTTTCCTTTTTAAAACAGGTGATAGCCAATTACACTAATCACACTCCTGCTGAGTCACTCTGACCCAGCAGAGTATTGCATCATCCTGTTGAAGCCTGCAGACTTATCCAGTATCCTGCGAATCCCAACATATGCCCCTTTGAGCTAAGTGCAATCAATCAATATAAGTTTCCCTGCGTTGCTCTAGCGCAACATCACGTTGCAGCATGGGCAGAAATAAAAATTCTTGGCAACAATCAGTATTCACTGTACTTATTTTTCACTTTTTTGGCGGAAGGGAAGGCTGGTTATTCATAATAATAATTATAAAAACCTGGGCTTCATTCATTCTTCGCTCCCCAGGGAGGCTCGTCTGGCGCTTTCATTATATCTTTAGGCGCCAGGCAAAAATGTTCCTTCTTCAACCAGGCCTTGGGCTGATTGATTCATTTTCTACAGGCTTTTAAATGTGTTTGTGGGAAGGGGGTGTGCTATTGCTGTGTTGCTTTTGTTTTAACTATCTATTTGTTCTTTCACCTTGTGTTTTTATCCATCCTGAGATCTTATGACGAAGGGCGGCAGGTATATCGATAAAATACAGTGGTGCCTCGCAAGACGAAAATAATCCGTTCCGTGAGTCTCTTCGTCTAGCGGTTTTTTCGTCTTGCGAAGCAACCCTATTAGCGGATTAGCGCTATTAGCGGTTTAGCGGCTTAGCGGCTATTAAAGAATTAGCGGCTTAGCAGCTTAGAAAAGGGGGGGGGCGAAAAAAAATCTGCAAGACTCGCAAGACGTTTTCGTCTTGCGAAGCAAGCCCATAGGGAAATCCGTCTTGCGAAGCAACTCAAAAACGGAAAGCCCTTTCGTCTAACGGGTTTTTCGTCTTGCGAGGCACCACTGTAAAAACAGATACAGTGGTACCTCTGGTTGCGAACAGGATCCGTTCCGGAGTCCCGTTCACAACATGAAAAGAGCGCAACCCCGTAGCAGCACGTCTGCGCACGCGTGGGTTGCGATTCACCACTTCTGCGCATGCGCATGACGTCATTTTGCGCTTCTGCGTATGCGCGAGTGGCGAAACCCGGAAGTAACCTGAAAGAACGTACCATGAAGCGGACGTAACATGAGGCATGACTTTCCCTTTCCTTATTTCCTTCCAGGATGAATATCAGTTCTGCTACCAAGCGGCTCTGGAGTACCTGGGCAGTTTTGATCACTATGCAACATAAAACAAAGCAAAACGCCGACTCTGAAACAGAAAAAAACAAAACAAAAAACAAAGCCATCCGTTGCACGGACTCTGACCACTTGCAGTCCTGGAAGGTCTTTTCGAGCCAGAGAGGTGAACTTTGACCTTTTTCTATTAGGAAAAAAAGAGAGAAAAAGAAAATCGCAGACTGAATTCCGAAGGAAGCTGCCGCCTGTGCCCGCTCAGCCCCCGACCTGTTTTTGGATGCTAAAGTGGGGGGGGACGGACAATCAGCTAGTGAAGCGGCCAGCAGTTCCGCACGCCCCCCCCCAGCAAACCTTGCACCTCTCTCCTGCCCTGAGGCGGCTCAAACAGAGGGTGCCCCCCCTTCCCCATTTTCTCTTTAAAAGTGGTGAACTTGTCGTTCTTACCTCATGTGGTGTTTGCGGCGTGGGGGGGGGCGGTGCCAGACGGGCCCCAATTGCTTCGGCGGGATTTTTGAAACAAACAAATGTCCGAGAGAGAGAGAGAGGGAAAGAGAGCGCCCCCCCACACACACACCCCTTGAAAGCGGCCAAACGGAAGAACGAACCAGGCGGGGGCCGGCAAGGAATGACAAGCATGGCCCCTGCCACACTCGCGTTTTAAGAGTTTGGTTTGCATACTAATCTAGTTGGTGAGTTTTAGAGGAAGCCACTTGCAGGGTTGTTGTTGTTTTTTGCAGACAGGAACAGAGAGAGAGAGAGAGAAAGAAAGAGAGTTTGGGACAGAAAGCAAGAATCAGCCAGCCTTGAGCACCAACTGAGCCAATCTTTCACCCAGCAAGCATTCTCTTTCATTTTATTTTGGAGGGGATTGCAACCTCTGATTTCAATGGTGGATATATGTTTTGCCAACCTGCAGAAAGGTGGGGTGTGCGCAGTGCTTTTTCTGGGGGTACACAAGGGGTACACCGTACCAGCACCATTTTTTCCTGGAAGAAAAGCACTGGCTGTGGGATTCCCCAAACACACACAGTCATGTATCTCTCACCTTTTGAAAACTCGGAACATTCCACATCCTTATGATTCCACGGTTTTTTTATGTCGAAATAAAAACTGCAATAAGGAGCTGTCAGGGACCCAAAATGTCTCTTGATCAGGAAAACTCTCTCCCTTCTTCTTCCTCCTCCACAAACATCCTTTTTCACTTGACCCCCTTCCCCACACAAAATTAACCCTGCATCTGTTCGGTTTCATTTCAACTCCCTTAAAAGGGGCAGCCTTTTACTCTCACGGGTGGAGGTTATGAAACACCTTTTTAAAAATTAAAAAAAAAAAGGCCACATGATTCCATTAGCACATCAAAAGCTGACCTTTTTTCCCCTTTTCCTGTTGCAAAACCATGTATTTTTTTGTGGGGGTGTCTTTCGTGCCCTTCCCCAGCCCTTCCATCACATGCCAAAGAGAAAAATGGTGAGTTTTTTCAGAGGCCCCTGGAACAGGATGGATCTTTTGAAAAAAGGGGAGGATTTTTTTTGTTGTTGTTGTCAAGGCTTATGGGACCATCAACAGGGGAAAAGATCATCTCCCATCTGCAGCCCACAGGCAGGACCCAGGACTTATAGAAACGGGGGGGGGGGCGGGGGGGAGCTGGAGAGAACCTTGCAAGTGGGTCTCTTTAAAGAGATGTTCATGTATCTCTAGCAAGTGGCATTCATATTTTTTTTTATTTTGAGTCTCTCTCTCTCTCTTTTTAAAATAGTGTATTTTTTTTTCCTTTTTAAAAAAAACATGTAAAAAAAATTACAGGAGAATATCAGTCAACGAATTTACACACAAAAAAAGCAAAAAAAAAGCAAATTACTTATTTGTTCATATTATGTTCAAAGACAGTCTATTTTTTCACTGTAGAAACGTTATGTGTAATGGCTGTGTGAGATAAGATTGGGCGGGGAGGCGGGGAATGACGTATGATTATAATTGCTGCTTTTACATCTTGCGGTTTTTTTTACCGTTTTGAAAAGAAATGAAGAAGAAGAAGAAGACGAAAGGTTTAACTTGCTCACATACAAACAAACCTTCGCCGTTTTTCTTTTCTTTTTAAAAAAAGAATTACGCTTCTTGTTGTTGTTAGCTGTTTATTATTTTCTTCCTTTTCCAACGGGCTTGGCTAATAAGGGGCGTGAGGGATGAGGAGGGGGCACAGACAGGATACATCGCTTTAAAAAATTGGGAGGGGGGTAGCCTTCTCCGCTCCGGCAGCCTGCATTTTGTATGCCTGACCCATGACGAAACGGAACATTTTAAACCAGGCGCCCGTCCGCCACCAGGACACATGAACCCAGAGAACTGTACTTGGAAGTTTGCCAACTTCGCAAGGCATGGACAGGGGCAGCAAACACCCTGCTTTTAGCCAGCACGGTGGGACACGGGTGGCGCTGTGGGTTAAACCACAGAGCCTAGGACTTTCTGATCAGAAAGTCGGCAGTTCGAATCCCCGCACCGGGGTGAGCTCCCGTTGCTCGGTCCCAGCTCCTGCCCACCTAGCAGTTCAAAAGCACCTCAAAGTGCAAGTAGATAAATAGGTACCACTCCAGCGGGAAAGTAAATGGTGTTTCCGTCCGCTGCTCTGGTTCACCAGAAGCGGCTTAGTCATGCTGGCCACATGACCCGGAAGCTGGACGCCGGCTCCCTCGGCCAATAGAGCAAGATGAGCGCTGCAACCCCAGAGTCAGTCACGACTGGACCTAATGGTCAGGGGTCCCTCTACCTTTACTAAAAGGGGCTGTAAAAAAACGAAAACAAAAAACAAGGTGTTTGCTGATCGCCATTAACTGCTTGGAGGGCTGCATTCAGCAGGGGAGGGGGGTCATAGAAGAGCTTTCCACTGCAAAATGGGACAGTTTATTGGATGTGCTGAATGTCGGTTCGAAACCCTGCTCAGCCTTAACAGAGACATACTGGGTGGCCCTGGGCCAGTATCTCTCTTTTTCTTTTTCTTTCTCTCTCTCTCTCTCTGCCTAAGCTACCTCGCAGGGTTGTTTTGAGGCTTAAATGCTGCCCTCCCCGGCCCCTCCAGAGCTTCGTAGGCCGTAAAACAGTGGCTTTTGCTACTTCCCACATGTTCTCTGGATTAAGGCAGCAAGACCTTTTGGATAGCGGTAAAAAACAAACGAACCGATCTCTTCTCCCCAAACCCTGCAGCAATGTTTTCTTTTCCTACGGTACTGAGCGAAGAAGCCAAGGCGTACCAAAGGGTACAGCTTAACCCACCACACACCCTAAACCAGGCTTCCTCAACCTCAGCCCTCCAGATGTTTTGAGACTACAATTCCCAGCATCCCTGACCACTGGATCATGGGCCAAAAACATCTGGAGGGCCAAGGTTGAGGAAGCCTGCCCTAAACATATTGGGTTCTGTTTACACCACTCCTCGGTTTTGCAATTTTGCAGCTGGGTTAAACCCCCCCACCCCAATGGTGGGGGCTGCAGACAGAATGACCCAGCAGTAACTTACTGGCTTGATAATAATGATAAAAGGGGGGGGAAGGTCTTTGAGATTTCCCTTCCCCACAATGTTGCCTAACATTTCCTTAAGGACATATATATTGGTAGATGTTTGGGAGGAAGAGGAGAAGTTGGAGGGGGGCAACTGGGTGTGCCAACCTTTTATTTTTTATTCCCACCCCCCATTTTTTAAAAAATAAAAAAAAAATTCTTTTTCTCCCTTCCTTTGTATGAAAGCAAGACCCTGTTGCTATCACACTGTTATTTCGAAATGAAACAGTTTAAGTGGTCTCCATGCCACTGTTTATGTAGATATATATATTGAACTTTGTATTAAAGGAAGATTGTCTGAAAAAAAAAATACAGAACTGAAGAATTGTTTGAAAGGTGGGGGGGCGGGTTCGTGGGGGGGGGGAGGCAGAGGGATCTGATTGGGGCAACCATTTTTATTTCTTTCCAGGGAGATGTTACGACATCACGGCAAACGGTGGAGTAGAATGAGAACCCTCTGGGGTTCCTTCTTCCTCCACAGGTCTATGAAGTCTTGTAGGGACGTGGGTGGCGCTGTGGTCTAAACTACTGAGCCTCTTGGGCTTGCTGATCAGAAGGTCAGCAGTTCGAATCCCCGCGGCGGGGTGAGCTCCCACCACTCTGTCCCAGCTCCTGCCAACCTAGCAGTTTGAAAGCATGCCAGTGCAAGTAGATAAATAGGTACCACTGTGGCAGTAAGGTAAATGGCGTTTCCATGCACTCTGGTTTCCGTCACAGGGTCCCATTGCACCAGAAGCAGTTTAGTCCTGCTGGCCACACAACCCGGAAAAGCTGTCTGCGGACAAACGCAGTCTCCCTCGGCCTGAAAGCGAGATGAGCACCACAACCCCATAGTCACCTTTGACTGGACTTAACCGTCCAGGGGTCCTTTACATTACCAGTACCTTTACCTATGAAGTCTTACCCAATGCTTTGCAGCGTTTTATCCCATCATTTCCTTAACACCAAAACTCCCTTTGAACTCTACAATTCTATGAAATTCTGACTCTTGAGGCCATATTCACATCATACAGTTAAAAGCACTAGGATACCACTCTAAACAGTCCTAGGTAAAGGTAAAGGGACCCCTGACCATTAAGTCCAGTCGTGGCCGACTCTGGGGTTGCGGCGCTCATCTCACTTTACTGGCCGAGGGAGCCGGCGTACAGCTTCCGGGTCATGTGGCCAGCATGACTAAGCCGCTTCTGGCGAACCAGAGCAGCGCACGGAAACACCATTTACCTTCCCGCCAGAGTGGTACCTATTTATCTACTTGCACTTTGACGTGCTTTCAAACTGCTAGGTTGGCAGGAGCAGGGACAGAGCAACGGGAGCTCATCCCATTGCAGGGATTTGAACCGCCAACCTTCTGATTGGCAAGTCCTAGGCTCTGTGGTTTAGACCACAGTGCCACCCGTGTCTCTTAACAGTCCTAGCCTCTCCAAAAAAGAGTTCTAGGAACCTTTGGAAGACCCCTATTTCCCTCCCAGATCTTCCTGGGAAGAGGGTTCTATTGATAAACCACTCCAGGAAACAGCAGCTCTGAGAGGAGAATAGGGGTCTCCTCACTGGTTGCTCTCAGCACCCGTAAGCAAACTACAGCTCCCAGGTGATTTCGCATTAAGTGGGTCCTGTGAATAGTCCAGGCCCTGTCTCCATCATCCCCTCTGTTCACTGCTCAGAACTAGGCTGGGTGATGTATCGCTACATCGACCAAAACCGGTTTGAAGTCTGCATCATCGTGATGGCTCCATAAATATTTGACACGGCAACAGATTGCACATCACAAGGTGTGCCCACGCTAAGTAAAAAAAATCCCGATGCCGGGGAAACCCATTAAGCCGGTCATCGTTTCTCTCTCATCATTCCTTCTGTTCCTGTCGCTCTCTACTATAAAATTAACAGTTGTAGCAAAACGTTAAAGGTAAGTAAAAATTGCATCCGTTTTAGACCCCTAAATAGTAGCAGTTGCCAGGACAATATACCCTGTTCGCCTCCACATACCGTATTTTTTGCTGTATAAGACTCACTTTTTCTCCTAAAAAGTGAGGGGAAATGTGTGTGTGCGTCTTATGGAGCGAATGCAGGCTGCGCAGCTATCCCAGAAGCCAGAACAGCAAGAGGGATTGCTGCTTTCGCTGCGCAGCGATCCCTCTTGCTATCCTGGCTTCTGGGATTCAGAATATTTTTTTTCTTGTTTTCCTCCTCCAAAAACTAGGTGCGTCATGTGGTCTGGTGCGTCTTATAGAGCAAAAAATACGGTAGTTTCCATCCTTATTTCAGACATTGTGATATGTCAGTACATCACAATACTTTGCTGGCGGTTCATCCACAATGTTGAAAAACAGACATCCGCCATTGTGGCTAGTGGCCACTGAGTGCCTCCCCCCCCCCCCCGTGAACTTGTCGTTTGTCTAATCCTCTTTGAAAGCTCCCCAAAAACACTGTGCATTATTTCAAATGCAGTCACACCACAGATTTGTATGACAGCAGTTTATTTTCAGTTTCTTTCCCTAATGGTCCCTAGCATGGAATTTGGGGGTTTTCATAGCCGCTGCACCCTAGGTCAGCATCTTCATTCAGCTATCTGCTGTTGTTATGATTATTAAATTTAAATACCACCCTTCATCCAAAGATCACAGGGCACAGTATGAAAACACACACAAAAATAACCTAACAAAAACTATAAACCTTATACACACACACACAGTTAAGAAGGTCAGAGATTAATTAACCAAAGGCCTGGGAGAGGAGGGACGTTTTGCCTGGTGCCTAATAGGCGAGCATAATGAAGGTGCCAGGTGAGCCTGCCTGGGGAGAGCATCTCACAAATGGGGAGCCACCACAGAAAAGGCTCTGTTCTCATGCTGCTACCCCCGGACCCCTCATGGCGGAGGCACACAAAGAAAGGATCTCAAGTGGGTTCATATGGGGAGAGTCAGTCGCTGCAAGTTCAGATCCCACAAGTGTATATGTGAAATTAAGTTTTGTTTGCCCTGCATCTCTTTACACTTGTTTGCAATGAGTTGCATTTACCCATTCACTCTGTTTGGAAAGATCATTTTGGAGTTCCTTTGCAGCCCTCTTTTGCTTTTAAGCTCCATGAACAAAGTGGTATTGTCGGCAAACTTGGCTGCCTCACTGCTCGCCCCAAACTCCAGCTCATTTATGAACTAGTAGGTCCTTGGGAGACACCACCATCCCTCCATTGAGAGGACTGTCCATTTATCCCTACTCTGTTTCCTGTTTCATAACCCGTTGTTGGTTCACACGAGGACCTCTCCTCTTATCCTGTGACTGACTGCTAAGCTTACTCAGGAGTCTATGGTGAGTTCCTTTGTCAAAAGCCCAAGTACACAATGTCAGCCACCTCACCTCCAGACACTTGTTGACATTCTCATATAACTCTTAATAGGTTGGTGAGAAGCCATGCTAATTCTACTTCAGCGAGGCTTGTTCTTCATGCTCGGTAATTCAATCTCCCAACAACCACCGGTTTTCCTGGGACAGAGGTTAAGCTAACCAGCTTGAAATTTCCAGGACCCCCCCCTTTTAAAATTGACACTACACTGGCTACTTTCCT